ATATAATAGTTTAGGATCTACAACGCTTTAAAGTTGTATATTAACCACTTGCGCTTTTAATTTCAATCTTACGTTTGTATGGATCTTTGTCACTCTTTCACCTAAAAATACTGAATGGATTTTAATGAAACTTAACAGTAATATAGCTCATATATGATAATAACATATATATAATAATTTATGTAGTTATTGAGTAAATTGGTTAAAATATAACAATAAGTGTCACATAAGACGGAAAAAATCTACCATCGGCGAGTCATTTTGGCCTGCACTGCAAAAACAATAAAAGTTACATGAATGTAATGTAGAGTGAAAATGTATCTCTTAAATAGTTCTACAAAAAAGTCCGTGACACCATATATCTATTTCTAATATGTAAGCCATTACCGCTAAAAAAGTGAATAAAAACTAAAATATTATTTGATATCTATTTCCAAAATGCACATTTTGTATTAACATTTTTTTTTTTCAAAACAATTACGACTTGATTTAACTTCACACATTTTTGCGAAAATTGTTGCCCATCTGTAGCCTTGACCCCGCTGGTAAAGTCTCTATATGTCTTAATAAATCAATCGTTTAGTTCATCGCAAGGTACTTAATAATTCCCGCGATAATATTTCCCTTAATGAAGTAACCAGACTACGGTATAAATGCCGTCTTAAAATACTAACTAAAAAGTGTGAAATAAACAAGGGAAATTTAAAAATCAAAAAACCCGACTGCTTAATTATACTGCAAATAAAAACTGAAAAGAAAGAAACAAGTCCAGTAGTCTATAATTCTGTTAATAAGGAACAAAGCACTTTAACAGTCGGGACCCATTATTAAAAAAATTTATGTATTTTTGAATATGTAATGGGTCCCGACTGTAAAAGTTGCTTTGTTCCTTATTAACAGAATTATAGACTACTGGACTTGTTTCTTTCTTTTCAGCAGTCGGGTTTTTTGATTTTTAAATTTACCTTTTATGTACATATTATTCATTAAAGATACTGAAAGGAATGTTAAAGGCCGAAGTTAACGACAGTTTTGTTTTTTAAGAAGTAACGTTAAATCTAGTGATTATTATCTATTTGAGTACTACGGAAAATATTAATACTGTTGGATATAACTTATTTCGTGACTAACTCCTTCTTGTATAATTTCAACTCCTTTAAAAAAACTCCGAAAGGAAAAAATATGTTTAAGAATTTAAATACTCTGTATGTTGAATGTTGTACAGAAAGGACATTGCTCGTTCCCCATACATTGAATGCCCCAGAACGCACAATAATGAGAAAATGCTAATTGGGCTCGGAATCACACTAATATTATAAAGGCGAAAGTTTGTGAGTGTGTATTTTTGTTACTTCTTCACGTCTAAACGGCTGGAGCGATTTTAATAAAATTTGGTATGGAGTTAACTGACACCCTAGAATAACACATAGGCTACTTTTATCCCGAAAAAATGTTAGGTTCCAGAGGGATTTTCAAGAAACTACGTTAACGCAGACGTAGTCGCGGGCGACCTCTAGTCATTCATAAACTCTAATTAGGCATTTGTCGAGATACGGAAAACTTGAGGAACCGTGGCCTACTACAGAATGGTATTAGATTTTAAGGTTATAATTATTACACTTAATCGTAAAAGATGTACACTTTATATTTATTCTGAATAGATTTAGTGATTACCTCTATATAAGCACTTAAATAATATACATTAAATGATCATAAAATGCAATTAATAATAAAAATAAAAAATGCTTATATTCATATTGATTTATGAGTGTTGGCAGTCGGCACCTATGATACCTACCTATACCTACCTGTTGTAATAATAGATTTCTTTTCAAATGAAATGTTCAAAAGCTTTCCATTTACCTGTTTCTATATTTTATTATCGGTAATTAGGTATGTACCTGGTTATCATTATGATTTTCATAAAAATAAACAGATATTACCTATATGGGATGGGAGTAGGTATAAACTATCTTTACGTAATTTCAGTAATTATCTTTTTATAAATTTAATATAAATACTAGTGATAAGTATTAATAACTAAGGTATCAGTTCTATTATTATGTTGATTAATACCTATAGTCGCCTTAATAAGGTAAGCAATCTTGACACAAAATCACCCATTTGAAAATAAAATAATAACTAAGCCAATAAACTATTAAAATAACTCGTTATTATAGACTGAAACCTGTTGAATCCAGTTATCAGTTGATTTTTAATGCTGTATTTTCAATAAAAAGGAGTGCCTAGATTGTTTACCAAATAGGACAAGTTAGGATGAACAGACTGTAGTATCTAGTAACAGAACTTTTATTTTTGGAGTTTACTCCTTAAGAATCGATTTGCATATATAAGGGACCCGGTATGAGAAAAATGTGAGGAGTAAAATCTATCGATGAATGACCTCGTTACGTTTTTGGTGCGCATCCTATGTCGATAATAACTTTGACAAACAAAGATGACGGATTGCCATTAATAAAATTTTTAAAATCTGAACTGAATTTAGATATTGTTTCTGACAATAATGATAGAGCAATGGGGACAACGAGGTATGGTACAACCATTGATGCGGTATTTTCAAGATTCGTGAACCACGTATCTACGAACGTCCATGTGTCTTATTTTAGTTACGATAAACCACTTGTCACTGTAATTAATAATGCAGACAATGTTGATTTAATTAATATTTAAAAAAATGATAATAGTCTGATAATAATAATTACATAATTTTATCAACATTCCTAATGATATTTTTATGCACATCTGAAATTGACTATTGTAAAAAGTTTAATGTAAAATATTTCGTCGATTAGTTATAATAAATGTATATGAAATGAATAAATATATATTTATATATGTATATTATTTTCATTAATTTGTTAATTTACCCTTTCATACAATATCAATCTTTTTTAAGTTGAATAAACCCTTTTTGCGTCTGGTTGCGACTCCAGTCGTGCGTCGGAGCTGACACACACAATTTTTTTATTTTTTGAAACAAATTGTCCGTTTACTATGATTAATTAAAAAATAAAGTAAAAAAATAATAGTGATGGACATTTTTGTGCAAGCTGGGTCCGATTACGTCGATGTCCTTTACAAGATTAAATTAGATCTATAAGCAAATTATACAGTACCTATTTCGTAATTCTTTCCTTTTAGCTGTGTTAGTAGTATTCTCAAGTTTTCTACTCAAAAAAGGATAAGCTCATTCATTTCTAATTTTAGAAATGTACTAACAACTGACAGTTGTCTTGTTGGGACATAAATGAATGAACACTGGTCTTGGTATTCAATTTGCGTTACTTTATGTACCTACTTATATGTCTACTTTGACTCATGATAACCAAGTATTAAGTATCTTCGTACTCCTCCATGAAATATTTTTAATATATTTGTTTCTTAGGTTTTCACGCACATAAAAAAACGTCAATAAATAAATAAAGTTTCGTGCATTAACCCGTAAAAACTAGTTTTATTTAACATTTTTAATGTTTAAATTAATGTAGGTAATAAATAAATTATACAAAGAATTTATATGAATGCACAAGAATAATAATACCATTACAATAAATTTTTCAGACAGTTAAAATATATAGATACAATATTTATTTCACTAATACAGTATGCTTTCAAAGTTTTAATGTAGTCTTGCTCATATTACGATTACTTTACAAACTTTTAATTATATAAAGACCACAACAAAAGAAGGAACGGGTAAACTGTGTAGAGGAGAGGATTAAATAGCTATTTTGAGTGATAATGGCATTGGTGTCGATTCTGACAGGATTCTCTAAACTTAAAACTAAATTTAACATTAGCCTGTCCTTCTCATTCCGTATAGAGAATGACAGGGATTCACTATTGTCAAATTTAAGTTTAGCTTTAGAGAATCATACCAGAATCGACACCATTATCATTTTTAATAACATAAACGCATATTTTTATATTTAGGTATATTCCAAACGCGTATATAAATAGTTTTCTTCGAAATCTGAAAAATTCCAATATTTGAGTAGATATTATACTTGAACTTTAAACCAGTTTACAAAAGTTTAAATTAGGTACCTATGTATAAAGTAAGAATACATTTATTTATGGAGTGTTAATCAGTAAACACCTAACTGTACTGTCATTATCTGCTAAATAGGACATTAATTTAAGCAACTGGGTGGTCACATAATGCAAATGGTTTCTTCGTAGCTAACGTGAGGAGTTGCGGACATTAAAAGTTCGCATTAGAGTCCTAACGGTCACCTAATGACATGTCGTGACTTAATTTATTATTATCATTCGAGCACTGTCAGATACTGTTATAGCATTCGATGCTAATAAAAATAAAAGAAAAGATTGATGGCAGGTCTTTAATCATGACTCTCTACAGCTTAACATCAATGGTGTGACTGTTTTGATTGAAAACGTTTTTACGAAAACGTTTTTACGAAACGTTTTAAGTGTTAATGGCATCTTGTAATGATTTGGTTTGATAGGTACTTCTAATTAATACAATGTGGCTAGGAATCTGAATTATGTAAAAAAGGGTGCAACGATTTCTTCTTAAAAGAGTGCATCATCCCGAATCTTACAGAAATTTATAACTTCCGTTATTTGCGTCTGAGCCATAATATTCTTAAAATATTTGTGTTACGGTGCGTGAGATCGTGCACATCGGAAAAAAATCTGGAGAGATATAAAATTCACATCTGTTTGACATGCAATTTTAGTGCCACTAGTCCTGATTTTACTGACTCATGTGCAAATATAACACTCGAATAGAAACAGTAATTAAAGTAGATTAATGGCAACGGGCGACCACCATTTAATGCGGTAATTTTTTTAGTTCCCAATTAAAAGTTTCATGTGGTGTTAACGTCCTGTCCAGACCGACATTCCAGGCTTCCCACATTTAATGTGCAGCTCGCCTACCATCGAGTGGGCGACGACAGGATTGTCTACAAGTTTATTGCAAAAGTTACAATACCACGCAGCCACAGCCTCGGTTAGAAAATGCTCTTTTCAGTATATGAGCAAAATTATTAAAATACAAACATTTAACTTGTGTGTGTCGCTTAATATTGTGCAATATGCATAATTAGAAATAAAACTTAGGAAATATGTGCATGAATATTTAGAAATGTTCCATGCAAACATTTTTCATTTATGTCATTATTTTTATCTATATTCTATTCACCTTCAATGTGTGCATAGTACACATTTATCTATCCAATTTAAATTAGTAAGAAGCTACATATAATAATGGTTGTGTTATTTAAATGTATGAAGAAAACCAACAAGTATTATCCTACGATAATCGTATCGCCTTTTTGGTTCCATTAACTCACAATGGTTGAACGGCACCGGTGTGACCCCATTTTCTAATTATGGATAAGTTTTGTAAGGCTATCCGCTTCCAACATGTCGCTCGCAGGTTACTATTAACTTAGCATTAAGTAACCGTTTAATTTTTTCGGCGGTTTCTTATGCCTTGACATTTCATTTGTTTTGTTCTTGACCTGTAAATCTAGATATCTCGGAAACTCGAAGTTGAGTTTGAGTTTGATAACATTAAACGCTCAAAGACGTTATTATTTATTTATCATACAATGACACAAAATATTTGAAAAATAAAATGATTTTTTGTAGATGTTTTTTGTGAGTAATTCTTTCTAAAGATTTGATCTTCCGTTTTCTGAACTAAAGTAGGTAGGTACCCAACTAAACAGACGCCGGACGAGTGCAAGATAAATATGCTATATAGCTGCCTCGACAATTAAATCACTTCACAAGTCGGGCCATTTGGGTCCTGCCCACACGGCGAGCTTGTGATAATGTTCTCTTTGGATTTGTCGCTTATTTTATAGGCAAGACGCAGTTTGGTAGGACGTTTATTTGGAAACGGTTTAAATTTAGAATTTCCGCTCGTCCCAAGTTGGACGCAATGCGTTCAGTGCGTTCCCGGCTTGACATGAGTTCGTTGATATTGTGAAAGGCATGTAATATTGTGAAGTTTGTTAATTTTTTGTGCAAGTGACATATCTAGTTGTTTTGATATACCGTTATCTTCGGATTTGTTTGTGTGAGTTTGAAACTGAATAATTTTATTAAACTGATTTAATTTTAAATCTAAAGAAATATTTTACTAGAGTAAAATCCACCAGGACCAGGCAGCAAACGGGACTCGAACTGATTTAATTAAATTAATTGATATTAGAAAGTAAGCAACTTTTCTTATAATACTAAGCAAAATATTTTTATTATTGTGTAAGCATGAAAGAAATATTGATACCTAGGTACCTACTTTCACTATGTTGAGATATAAGTAATGAGCTCATTATGTTATTTTTCTTTAAAATAAATAGTTATCTAAATATATATGCTAAAAAATCATTTTATCTTGAATCATAAACATCGTTTTTCGCACTAAGCATTATTATGACTACATCGTAAAAAGTAATAGAAAAGCGGAAACTATTATAACTGGAAGCCAAATGTTCAGGAACATCATTTTAGTAAATGGTATACTGGTATATTATCTCAAACAAATATAATGTAGAAATAAATTATTTTGTAAAAAAACTATTCTATTTATTCGGTATTGGTACTTACAAGGAAAAATGTTTTCCCTATAAACTAATAGGTACATTGATAGCTTTACAATCTACAACAGCCATGCAATTACAATCATTTTAAACAGTAATGTGATTCGAGGAATAGTTGTATGATATGATGGAAGGTTGAGACAGCACCTGACGTAAACAAAAAGCGTAAACACAGACGAACCCAATGACTCACTATGACGAGGTTTCATTATCATAACACAGCAGCAACACGCATACATTAGTAACTTTAGTTCCAAACTAACACTCGACAGCAAATCAAGTGTTCATATTGAAGCGTTTATTTTATAAATTTTCTTGTTTTTAATGAGCTAACCATCAAGGCCGTTTTATTGAGTGAGTGCGGCTGACATACTTTAAGATGTCGCGAACGTAAAATCGGACGTAGAATATTGTACGCTAAGAACAAAGGCTTTTATTTGCAAATTCTTTAGCACTCCGAAGCACCAGCCTGTTGATCGAGACACGTGTCCAGAACATACGTGTAAACGAGACGATGCGAGCATTCGACGCGCGCGTGTGATAAAAATCGAATGCAAAAATGATTAAAAGGAATGGTGATAATGTGTTTGCGATCGCGTCGAGCAACAATCAGTGTCAAGGCGCGCGGAGTGTCGTCTCGCTCACTCCCGGCTCAGCCACGAGGATCCCTCGCGCCACTGCCGCCAGGATGACGCCGCCCGACGCGCACCACAACACTAAGGAGGCTAACATTGCACTTTCCACGTACGTTGAAAAATGGAAGAATAGATACGAGGAATCTGAAAGAAAACATAAGACGTACCTCCTCAAGTCAGAAAAAGGTCAGTATTTTATTTCGTATAAGGAAATCTTTTGTTTAATTTGTTCGTAGTTGCATTGCGCATGTCTCGCCTCCCCCCCTTACTTCGTATGCAAATGAAAACACGGATGGAAAGCCTATTCGCGTATTTGTAGGATTATGACAGTTGCAAACCTGTTGCGTTTACATTAATTTCGTAAACCCCTACTGGTATAGCAACAGGCACAACTTGTTCATGATCATAGAAATTAAAGTTTTTGTTTTGAAAGCTTTAAAGGGCTGACAGTAGAGATTAAAACCAGTTATTGAACTGCGCATTACCTCTATATACTACCTACATACCTAATACACGGGAGTTGATGACTGAGAAATAACGTTAGTATTATGTTCATTAATAGAAACGTTATTTTCTTGAGCTATGCGCCACCTTAAATTTTACTTTTTAATTTTTGTACGTCATTTGAAATGTCAAAAACTTACATTTTGTTTACAAACTTAATAAATTAAAGATATTTATGACAACTATGTAACTTCTTGAACAAACATAGACAAGAAATTTTGGACACTAACACCAGATAATGGCCAAATCCTGAGGGAGCCATCACTGAAGAAATCTAATCTAATGTAACTTCTTGCTAAATAATAAGTTGACTAATCCCTAGCCAGTATTTTTCGTGCTTTAGTAGTATGTATTATTAAAAAGTAAGTTCGCCTTTATTTTGTTGGTACATGCAATACTTATATTGTTTTCTTTTTCCATGCCCCTTGTCTCAATATTTGACTCATATGTACACAACCTTGCCCTCTATAACTTCCAAGTTCACTATTGTCGAATTTATATAATTATTTGTTATTATTTTGCCATTTATATAAATCTAGCAGCTGCTATTAATTAAAGCAACAAAATAACAAAAGTTTCAATCTCTAGAAGAAGCATGACTCATAATGGCCCTTTGTTTAAAAAACAGAATGTTAGGTTCTTACTTACTTGCCAATTTTTCCTGTATGAGTAATTTAGATTCAAAGTGAGAAGGAAACAAAATTTATCAATACAATTTTCACTGTACATTGTGATTAAAGGTAGTATTAACCTATAAATAATTTTTTGTGTCATTCACAACTAAGAATCTCTTATCTATTAGACAAGTCCGTCTGTCTGTGGTGCTGTTTCTTCGGCCAAACCGTAAGAGATAGATAAAGAGAATATTTAAGTTATAAGTTAAGAATAGTCTGATAAGACTACAAACCGGATTTGAGTAACGTAGCACTTCCAGTTTTCGAGAAATCAGGTTTTAGTGAACATTTGGTTCACTGGTTTGCTAGTCTCTTATCTATTAGACAAGTCCGTCTGTCTGTGGTGCTGTTTCTTCGGCCAAACCGTAAGAGATAGATAAAGAGAATATTTAAGCTATAAGTTAAGAATAGTCTGATAAGACTACAAACCGGATTTGAGTAACGTAGCACTTCCTGTTTTCGAGAAATCACGAATTTCAAACGAAACCACACAAAATCTCCGAAGTTCTGAATTAATTAAATACATTTTTTTTTTGAATCAGGTTTTGGTGAACATTTGGTTCACTGGTTTGCTAGTACATACTAATTAGATAAGTTTAATAGTATGGCTATGTAAGATTGCTAAATATTAATTTCAGCATTCATTAATAACAGATGTCAATAACAATTTAAAATAAACCCCTATCCCAGCGCAAATGCCCATGCTTGCAGCATTGCCAAACGGGATGGTTACAGTACCAGGAATTATAATTATTTTATATTTATAATTCTTGGTACTGTATATCATTTAAAACTAAGTCTTATAATGACCTTGTTTAAATCCTAAAGTAGTAGTAATAAATTCTGAACAAGATATTTGCTTATTCATTAAATTTTGTCGTTACTTTAGGTCATTACAGAAATTGCTGTTTTTCATGGAATAAGCTACAGCCTATTTTTACCATATTTCCATTTATTAATCAAAGTAATTACCCATGCGTCAGTACAATTTTGCTAACATAGTAGTAGCTTATTGATGCCCTCTTTGAAAAAGTCTGCTCGAACGAGATCTCCAAGATGACAATAAATTTACAAATGCGCTGAAAACAGAATGCTAACCATTAAACAATTGACTGATTTTCAAAAAAGAGTTCCATACCTATTTTGGAACAAAATAATTTGAACTTGAAATTCTTAGCGAAATAGGAAAAAATTTGGACTTGCAATAGCCAGTACAGCAGAATGTCAATTTCATAGGTAAAGAGCTATTATATAAATTATGTAATAGAATGCATTTGGTATCAAATATGTGTCTCAAAACTCTTAACAATTGAAAAAATTAAAAGCAAAACTGCCCTGCCTACACTTTAACCAAAAAAAAGCCTTTCCAAAAAGTAATTACATATTCAGTGGAACACTTTTTTTTAACAGACAAAATTATGGGCACCCACATGTATATTACATTGTATTCATAGTACAGGGTCTGATTAGTTTAGGACTAAATTCATAATTATTTGTTGAGAATTTATTATTACTATTCAATAAGTAATTACATAAATACGAGTATAAATGCCTTGCCATTTAGCATAGCATCATTGGAAGTTTTGATTTAAAATTCAATAAAATATAAAAAATGGTAGTAAAACCTTTCATAGGTATACCTTAACAACACCACATTTTTGTTTGTATGTTTATTACTCAATCACACAATACAATACTGACTGCCTGAATGGATTTGAATTAAATTTAATTCACCAATATTTTATTTATTATTTGGCTTTAGACATTTACCAGAAGGTTTATGTCAACCAGACTTACTACAAACATACCTATTTCACTATGTCTTCTCTCCACAGACAACTATAACAGATTTTGGGATTTAAACAAGGTCAGTAGAAGACTTAATTTCAAATGGTATACAGTACCAGGAATTATATATATAAAATATTTTTTTATATTTATAATTCCTGGATTCATTCCAGATTTCAGAGGGGATTTCTATTTCTTTTAGTTATTTGCTGAGACCAAATAAAAAGTATTTGTTTTATTTTAATCATAGTTATCATAGTGTATTTAAGTAACGCACATACAAACATGGATAAATACAAGAACACTGAAAACATAACACTCCTATTTTAGAAGTCGGGTAAAAAGCAAATGCCATTTAAAACTCTCCTGGAGGACGACTATGGATAATAGAATAGTAGAATCGAAAGCCTTGACTTTCTATTACTGAATTGTTCATTCTATTCTGTCTTACAGCAAGGCGGGAGTATGACGACCTCCAACGACGTCACAACATACTCCAGGAAGAGAGGAACCACCTCGAGGCGGAGGTCAGAGAGAGGGAGAGGGAGCTGACCAAACTGAAGAATGTCTCCGAGAAGCTGTTCCTGGAATATCAGCAGCTGAAGAACCAGCATGAGGTGGATGCTGGCGTTATGCATAAGTGAGTTATTGTAAACTATTAAGTAGGTTATTGTAAACATCACAGCTATTACGAAGGTGACCGAAAATGTATTATCTCGAGCTCCTCCATGCTTCGGAAGCCGCATTTAGCCGTTGGTTCTGGCTGCATGCAGATGCAGACTGCAGAGTCGCTGTCATCTACCATTCAGCATTCGAACCGCTTGGTGCATCACGCATGAGATGTTTTCTGTTTTCGCTATTCCATCAAGGTAGATCTGTGCCGGTAGTGAGGACAAGATGACGATGACAGAAAACGTGTTTATTTTAACCGTTTTTTTATTAAAATGTTAAACGTTGTACGATGGTGTTGCGAAAATGTTGGTGTGCTCTTCAGGATCTTACTTGGCCATTGTTTTTTTTTTTACTTTTAAAGGTAATAATGGTCAGTCTCAGTTTGTACCGTCTTGATTCTTATCATCGACAAATCCGTTTTAGTCCGAAGACATTGGATGTTATCTTGTCCCATTAGTAAGAACGGTTTTTAATATGTACCTATACGTCGTATCTAATCTACAGTAGGTACCTATATATGGAATGACCTTATGTTTCTATGGGTATAGTTGAAGATACGGCATTGGGCACGCTTGCTTTGCGAATGAAGATTTTATGACTATGTAATAAAAGCGATTTATATTTTATGGCAAATTATTTACTGCGACTTGGAATATAATTTAATGTAGGCACTGCCAGTAATTATTCAAGTTACTAAGTCTAAAATTTGAACCCAGGACTTCAGGATGCCCGACAACTTGCAAACCAGTGTACATACATTCCACTACACCAGGGAGGCCGCCAAAGGTCGAAATGTATTTAGCTGTCTAAATGCTAGGATTATGACGATAGTACATCAATGGTTACCCACCTCTAGTTTCTGATGCCTAAAAACCTTTACGTATCATAAATCAAGGACAAGGATCTTTATGAATGTGATTAACAGTTCAGGGAGGCCGTTGCTGATTGCTAAATGTTTCAAGTACTAGAAAATCTCCCAAATTTTTGGGAAAATTGTCTTGTTCTATATTCGGTATAATGGACATAAAATTTTATGAGACTGACTGTCAGGGTCGGTTCACCACACATAAATTATTGTATTTATTTAATTAATTTGTAATATTTTATTTGTTTACCCCTAACTTCCGTAAACTAACATCGGGTCCAAATGGAGAGACCAACTGTGAAGAACTGGCGATTAATAACTTTTAATAGAATGGCGGCGTTAGTTCCAATCTTCGTCACATTCTTAAAGATCCTTGTCGCACTATAAAAGTATTGGTATGTGGTATTTAAGGAGTTGTTTTATGTATGGAGTCTGTTTATGTTTTTAAAGCGACTTCAAACATTCAACTTCAAACTTCTGAATTCATCGTGTAAGTTGTATGTTACTTTGGTGTACTTGTATGTTCAACGATATTTTCATTAATTGTGATGACAGACAGACGGATGAACAACGGAAGCTTGATAATAAAGTCCGTTGTCACATGATTATCACCTGTGCATGTATTTATTATAATATTATATGTAAGTTTAGACTCCAATTCCCAAGCGATTACGTAAAACGATATATTTGCAAGTCGAAACAACCATTAGAAACCAATATAACATGCTAGTTTGCTGTTTTTTTTGCATAAAAATAGCAAAGATGTATCTGACAATATAAATAATGTCTACACGGAGAAAGTCATTGGTCAACAAACTGATGATAATAAAATGCGAATTTGTTTTTGGCTGTGCTTTTCTCTCATCAATATTGTGCTTCTTAAGATCAGTATCGATAGACTGTTTGTATCCGTGTGACTTATCTTGAGCTGGCTTAGGCTGGTTTTAATGTTTGGCTAGTTAGCTAGTGTGCTGTTTTTTTAAGTGAACTGTTATCAATTACTTAATTCAAAATGTAAGTACATCCTAGTCTTACTAAGGCGGTTAAGCGGTGAATTTCCTGCGGTGTAATATATTTAAATACCTGTATTTTATAGTATACGAGCTCGATGTAGCATCTTCTTCTCAAGCAATTTTATAAAAAAAAACTTGACAAACTTTATTATCTCGAGTTCCTTCGTACATCGAAGGGCACGTTAAGCCGTTGGTCCGGGCTGCATCTGCAGTCGTTAGCATCCGTCGTGGCCCCGGCAGAGGGGACGTTAATAAGCTGATGATGATGACATGAGCTTGTCGTATGTTTACAAAAACATGTGGTATTGGCAGGGTTATGCAGCAAGCAGGTGAATGGTACAAACAGAATAAGCAGCTCAAACGACGCAGTACGGTGCTGCTGCAGGCGTTGCCGGCGAAGTCACTGGACATCGACCTCACCGACTCCACTGATACAGGTGCATATATCGCTTTTTTACATTACTCCCAAACATCGAAATTTAATGTTTTCTAAATTCCATGTACAGTCTGGCGTTTGAATTTGGGATTCTAAGCAAATTACAATGGTATGGTATGGCCATTGAAATTTGGTAGGAATATTTGCATTGCAATAAGTTTGAACACTCCTGCTCAATATAGCCTTTTTTATGATAGACTCCTTGCTTGGGTCTAATATTCATAAATTTAGAAATCGTATTATATTTTTTAAAGGTTTAATTTTAACATGCCATATATGTATGTATGTAACAAGTTTTGAGTCAAAACTTGCAGCTGAAATCTAAAGCAGTTATCCCCAACCGATTCGGTTGAAATTTTACATAGTTGAGGAACTACATTCTTATTCCAATATGGCGGACGACCTATGTGGTGGACTACTATTTTTCCGTCCACATAAAAACTTGTTTTTTAAAATGTAAACTTATTACAAGACTGCCAAACAAAGAATAACTACGTTTTATTACGTGCGTTTCTTTATTCCACCATTACTTATAAATGCCTAAATAAGTTCTAAATTCCCCTGAATATATTTGCATTTTCCATGAAATAAAAAGAAATATTACTGCGTCTTTTCAAAAGCGAATTTTCATCGAGACTTATCTGTATTATAAGCAAACTGAGTACAAAAAAAACTTTTCGACTGATAAGTCGCAGTTTGTCTCTTAATATCAATAAATTTTTTGAACTTAGATTTGACATCTTTGACCTTGTTTTTGAAGTTTTTAACTTGTTGACTTTTTAGTTAGTCCAGGCAACGAAAAGGTATAGAGGGAATTGCTTAGAACACAATTTTTGACTTCGTGACTTTGTTAGGACTAGTTAGGAGGTAAACATATCAAAAGTCCCCGGCCGTAGCCCTTAAGCCGGGGGGAGGGGGGGGGGGGGCTTGAAGGTCCCATTTTTAGGTTTTTCGCATATATCTCGAAAACTATGCATCCTAGCGACATGAGGCTTTCACAAAAGTGAAAGCTGATTAAATTTGTTACAAGTCTTATTCAGTCAAATTTTTTGATATCTTGTAAAGTTTTCGAGATATCCGCTCTTGAAAGTCTGTAATTATGGAAAAAAAAATTGTTCCCATTTTTGCTCTATTTGACCGGATAACTCTTCAACAATGCACCCAAAAAATAAATGCCGGTCGTAGGGTTGTAGAGCATTAAATTATCTTCAATAATAGAAACAATTGCCTTTTTTTTTTATTTAAGGACAAAATTGTTAGTGTAGTAGACGTATGGGGGCGGTACGGTGGGCACTAGGCCGCGTACTCAGCCCCCACGCGCGGGCCGTCCTGCGCACGTCTGTGGGGTCCTCGCGATACCCCGGGAGACCCCTGCCGCGGAACCTCGGCAAGGCCGGGAGGCTGCTAGGTGCGGAGACGCGGAAGAATCCCTAAACGGGGATTCCGCGGCTTCGCACTAAGCAGCTTAGAGGGTGTTCGCAGGGTTTTTTAGCGGATATTATGCCGTATAGCGCCCGTAAGGGTTACGGGGTCCTCAGTGGGCAGCCACTGCTGGGGCTCGTAAGGCTTGCGGGAGCCAGGTGTGAGGTCCATAAGTAAAAAAGAAAGTAAATTAGTGTCATTGAGAAACTGTAATTATGTAATAATAATATCTGTAATAATGATATCCGCTCTTGAAAATCTGTAATTAAGGAAAAAAAAATGCTTTACATTTATGCTCTATTTGACCGGATAACTCTCGGATAACTCTTTAACGATGCACCGATGTCTAAATAGCACACGTGCTCATTTTAGAATATGTACTTGTTGGCCCACTGACCAGGTTCTTCACACAATCCAGAAAATAAGTTTAAAAAAACTGCAAGAGTTAACTACTTTATGCAAAAAAGGTTATTATAAATTAGATGATTATTTAAATGATAAGATTGTCTGGTGTTGTATTGGTCCAGCTCAACACAAAAAGTAGTATTAAGAATGATTAAAATTATAAAACTGGACTTTAAAAAAAATTGAGACGGTAGGGCCCTGTGCCTCTGGTTTTTTTCCGGTTCTCATTGGCTATACAGGTACGAATACGGCAGCAGTTTTCGATACAATTCACTATGACGTGCAAAAAGAGATTTGTAAAAAAATCCAATATAGTTAATTTCTTGCTCTTTTGGGGTGGGAAGGACCTTGATCCTCGTCTTCGTTTACATTTTCTTTGTCTGTATCATTTTCTCCATCGGAACCCTGTAGGGAAACGGTCAGAGGATCCTCCTGTTCTTCTTCACCTTCGGAGTCAACTTGAGCGACCCCATTCAAGCAGTTCCCCTGGCAATTTTGGCACGCTGGGGAACAGGAACGCAGGACACCCCCTTTAGTCAATACGTCTACTACCCTATTTTTTTATACGCAGGCAAAAAATACTATTTACAGACGACGGCGCCTTTAAGAGGCACACCGCCGAACGGATCTCACACCTGGCTCCCGCAAGCCTTACGAGCCCCAGCAGTGGCTGCCCACTGAGGACCCCGTAACCCTTACGGGCGCTTTACGGCATAATATCCGCTAAAAAACCCTGCGTACACCCTCTAAGCTGCTTAGTGCGAAGCCGCGGAATCCCCATTTAGGGATTCTTCCGCGTCTCCGCACCTAGCAGCCTCCCGGCCTTGCCGAGGTTCCGCGGCAGGGGTCTCCCGGGGTATCGCGAGGACCCCACAGACGTGCGCAGGACGGCCCGCGCGTGGGGGCTGAGTACGCGGCCTAGTGCCCACCGTACCGCCCCCATACGTCTACTACACTAACAATTTTGTCCTTAAATAAAAAAAAAAGGCAATTGTTTCTATTATTGAAGATAATTTAATGCTCTACAACCCTACGGCCGGCATTTATTTTTTGGGTGCATTGTTGAAGAGTTATCCGGTCAAATAGAGCAAAAATGGGAACAATTTTTTTTTCCATAATTACAGACTTTCAAGAGCGGATATCTCGAAAACTATACAAGATATCAAAAAAATTTACTGAATAAGACTTGTAGCAAATTTAATCAGCTTTCACTTTTGTGAAAGCCTCATGTCGCTAGGATGCATAGTTTTCGAGATATATGCGAAAAACCTAAAAATGGGACCTTCAAGCCCCCCCCCCTCCCCCCGGCTTAAGGGCTACGGGCGGGGACTTTTGATATGTTTACGTCCTAACTAGTCCTAACAAAGTCACGAAGTCAAAAATTGTGTTCTAAGCAATTCCCTCTATACCTGTTTTTGAGCATTCGTTGCCTGGACTAAGTTTGTTTTTGACTAAACAGCAAAGACTTTATTATAATACCTAGACTGTGCACGAAAAAAATTAGTTAATCTAAAGTAAGATTTATATCTGTAGTAATAGGATAGCTATTATCTTGATAAGCGGTCGCTAGTAAAAACGGTCCTGAGTGAGAAAGCACCCAACGGTAGTGTGTCCCTTTTTAACGTCTTGCCAGCTCAATTTATCATTGGGTTTGGTAGAAATGGTAGAAAATGTCATCCTTATCTATTTGTGATTTACTGATTAATTACCGATACGAACTATTCATAAACTATGAAACGTATTTAAACATTTCTACAGTTCCTATAAATAATAAAATAATCATTGATATTTTTAAAATAAATCTATATACAGAGTAAAAGTAGTATTTAATTAGTTGAGCCTGGTAATACTGAATGTAAGATGGTGAATTGGGCTTTTTTGGCGGAATTTCATCGAGTGCGGTTGGCGTCTTATTTTAATTATTCTTAAATTCGTTCATAGTGGATATTGTGAAATAAAATAGGTGTGGTTTTGTGTAACAACTGTCTGCGTAACTGAAGAATTAGTGGAATCATTAAAATATACTCTATTCCGGTCAAGTGGACGTGAGAATTTTATTGTAGTGTTGACTACCTCACAGAAGCTTATCGAAAAAGCCAACTCGATACCTTTCGTGCCAAACACTCCAAGAAACATTAGAATGCGTCACACCGACATTCTAATGTAAAAACAAAAAGAAGATAAATTTAATTAAAGACTAGGCTGTATGGGCATTGTTCCCTTTGCCTTCCCTAAAACGGGAGAACTTCAACAAAAAAAAAGATGGTGATTTGTTCACTTGATGACAATGACAATGATGACACTTGATGACAATTTGATTTGAAATATTGTAAATTTGCTTAATAAAGTGTATTTTTTTTAAAATGGTGAACTCGTGTTGTGTAACAGGGTGTTACAATGAATCTTATCCCGGTAGCCCTTTCTCTTTTCACGGGTAAGTAAAACTTACAATCATATTCATTAGGTGAACCATGAATTTGGGAGGTACATGAGATTTTTTTTCTTAACATGAGTTGTGTGAATTTAATGAATCAATTATTAAATAATGCGGGAGCGGTTACTTCCTTGTTTCGTAGGTACTTTTTAGAGCGTTTTTAGATTCGTATCATCATCATCAGCCTATTAATGTCCCCACTGCTGGGGCACAGGCCTTCCCTATGGATGGAATAGGGAGATTGGGCCATGACCCACCAGGCGGGCCCAGTGCGGATTGGCGGGTGCTAACGACTGCAGATGCGTGCCTTCCGAAACACGGAGGAACTCGAGATAGATGTTTTTGGTCACCCATCCAATGACCGACCACTGCGAAAGTTGCTTAACTTCAACCATCGCAGCCGAACGCGCTAACCACCTGCGCCATCAAACTCCTCACAAAAATAGAAAAAAAAAAAAAAATTTTTTCTTGTATTGTGTAGATTTCCGAAGAACGAAAAGCAGAAATTGATGTGGAAAAATGCAGTGCCTGGAAAAATTTCTAAGTCATCAGTTGTTTGCAGTGCGCATTTTAAATATGAATTAGACATCTATACTTATAATAAATCTGTAGAGATGTCAATTCTGTACATGAAATATATTTTTAAAATAACTATCAGGGGGTGATTAGTGATCGATACTGATGCCAAAAATGCAATCAGTAAAATTTTTGTCTGTCTGTCTGTCTGTGTGTATGTTCCTTATAGAAACAAAAACTACTCAACGGATTTTAACGAAACTTGGTACAATTATTCTTCATACTCCTGGGCAGGTATACTTTTTATCACGCTACAATCAATAGCAGCAGAGTAGTGAAGGAAAATGTTGGGAAAACGGGAGAAGTTACTCCATTTTTTAAGCTTCCGTCGCGGGTGCAGCCTTAATGGTTAAAGTTACATAGAAATCATGTATGACGGAAATATTCTACATAAAATTGTCTAAAAAATATCCCGCAACAGCATATGTCTATCTTTTATGGTTGACTCACAATAACACGTGTAATTATATAAATAAAGTCATTCTTTATAGCACAAGCCTGAGAACAAAAACTATAGTTTACACTACAGCTCTACACCGAAGCGAAGCGAGGGCGGGCCACTAGTTTTAAATAAGACTTAGAAGCTACGGGAAGTCCTTAACCCTTGAGCACGTAGGACATAAGGCTACATTGCGACAAAAACTGCTCAAAACTATATTATTTAGCAATGTATAAAAACCAATTTTAATTAAAAATATTTTAAACAAATGATTGTCTTTTTTCCGTCCAGAATTTGATGAATTTGATTTCTACCTCACAATATGTGGGTCCCCCTTACCTTAATAAACATACTTTTAAAAGTACTTTCCCTTCAGGTGGCTGGCATTACAAAATTCCACCCTCTTTATCTAATCTCAGTCCAAGCCAAGCTACGCGTGCTAGTTTAAATACCGAATGAAACAGTTCATAGTACCTATGTATTATTATTTTTAAAACCTACATAACTTCGTTTGGTCTGCGTTTAGACGTATATGCATAGATGAGGTTTTTCATATTAATTAACACTACATAGTCTAAATTACGTAAAATAATAAGTTTTTGTCGATGTAACAGCAAAAAAAAGGTGCCAAAATCAGGTATTGGCATTTATGTTAAATTAATGGTAAGTCTGATGATACATTATTGTTTCTTAGGTTTTCACGCACATCACTCATTAAATATAACTAGTTTTTCACGGGTTAATGCACGAAACTTTATTTATTTATTGACGTTCCGCAGCCTTTACAGGTCGCGTCGTCGGAATTTGTCATCATACAAAGACTTAGTGTATTTTTTTATTACACTAAGTCTTTGTATGATGCACTTAGCAAGTTAAAAAATACGCCATGTAGTTTTTATTTTAACTCATAATCACAAATTACTTACATGTTTAGACAGTAGCAGATACTAAACACAATCCTCTTTACAAGCTATATTAAATAACAAATACTAATAACAAATTTTGTCCCGCGTTACGCTTGAATATGGTCACTTCATTAGAAAGGAACACACTACCATTGGAAGCCCTCTCGCCCGGACCGTTTTTAACGCGATGGTGCACAGTCTAGGTATTATATAAAGTCTTTGCTAAACAGTCGTGTTTTTTAATTATCATTTTTATCTTCATGCACCTATGACTTGTTATTGATATACTACTAGTGAACCAGTTGCAAGTAGTAGCAGTAGTATTAGTTGCAAGATCTATGCGTACAGGTAGCGGAAGCGACTTTATTTTTTACTATGTGTGTTAATTTGTAATTGATTAACGGTTATTAATAACGTTTTTTTAAGGTTGTAAAACTGTAAATTCGGCAGGCAATATATAAAAATAATGAAAATGCTTCTGTTATAGCATCAGACGCGAGCAGCAACGAAGAGGTGGAATTTCTGAAGCAGACAGTTTCAGAACTCAGCAGACAGATAGCGGAATTGCAGACGGAACTCAGTACCGCCAAGTTGCACGAGTTTGAAGCGCACGAGGCCAATGTTGCGCTCGCGCAGGTCAGTATACAATTTTTTTACATTTTTTATAGTTTTTATCATCATCATGTCTCCGCTGCAGGGGCACAGGACTTCCCTATGGATGAAAAGGGGAGACTGGGTTCTAATGCTAACAACTGCAGATACAGCCGGGACCAACGGCTTAACTTACGTTCCAAAGTACAGAGGAGAACGAGATAATAAGTTTTTGGTCACCCATCCAATGACCGACCATTGCATAAATTGCTTAACTTTTGCGATCGTAGGCCGAATGCACTAACCACCTGCGCCATCGAGCTTTTCCTTATTGTTTTACAAGTTTTTTAAGGACTTTGGTCTTTTCGTATTATAATTACTTATCGAACAAATAAATTCCTGCCCCACTCATTGAAAATTCACTATGGTAAGTTTTATTCTACAGAGAATTTGTAATTTGTACTTAAGACCTTTTAGTGATACCAAATTTTATAAACACTGTCCAAAGATTCTTGAAATTTGAAGATATCTAGTACCTAGTGTAATATTAACAGTAAGTAAGATTCTTTGTGTAGTTACTTGGATATTTATAAGGCTTCTGACACTATCTGTCCCCATTCTCTTTGGAAACCTCGGCGTATAGGTATTCGCAGAATCACATGAATTATTCAAAAGCGTCTTAAATTGACGAAACCAGTTTGTCAGGATCGCCAATTATACTAGTCATGAAGAACTTATGAAAGAGGTTATGGCATACCACAGGGTAGTGTCCTTGAACCGACACTGTTCACCGCCAAATTTAACTGCCGAATTGTGATATTCTCTCTTATGCTGAGGACATAGTGACTAATAAATAGGTTAAATGTTAGTCGCTTCACTTGAGTTCATAAACTACTATAAGTAGGTACTAAATCCCTAAATTTGCGACGTGGCTTTGTCCTACTATAATGATCTAAATTACAAGTCCTCACAGCAATTATTTAATCCTAAACTAAGCATAAATATCTATAGAAACTAAGTAATGTATATATAGAATACATAATTGGGTTTATTTTTGGTTAAGAACAACCATGACTCGGCAAATAATATTTGTGCTTATCACACAGAAAATGCCGTTACCGGGATTCTTAGCTACCAACAACTATAGGATAAGAAAATCTTGCTTTTAAGATTCTCAACAACAGCAACCTCTCTTTCTAGGAATTGGAGACAGAACGGGAGAAAAGCACCATTCAACAGAAAGAGTTGGTAGATTTGCGAGGACAGTTGGACAGGCATCACCGCGTGTCCAAACTACTCATGGATGAGGTCACTGCCCTCAAGCATCACGCCGATAAGGACCGGGAGATAGCAGAAACGTCAGTATACAGTATCTTTATACATTAAATAATAATAAAGCACCACCCAGCAGTAAGAGTTGGTAGATCTGCGAGGTCAGGTGGACAGGCATCACTGCGTGACCAAACTAATCATGGATGTGGTCACTGCCCTCAAGCATCACGCCGATAAGGACCGGGAGATTGCAGAAACGTCAGTATATAGTATTTTTAAATATATAAAATAATAATAAAGCACCACCCAACAGTAAGAGTTGGTAGATCTGCGAGGTCAGCTGGACAGGCATCACCGCATGTCCAAACTACTCATGGATGAGGTCACTGCCCTCAAGCATCACGTTGATAAGGACCGGGAGATTGCAGAAACGTCACTATACAGTATCTTTATATATAAAATAATAATAAAGCACCACCCAACAGTAAGAGTTGGTAGATCTGCGAGGTCAGCTGGACAGGCATCACCGCGTGTTCAAACTACTCATGGATGAGGTCCATGCCTTCAAGCATCACGTCGATAAGGACCGGGAGATTGCAGAAACGTCAGTATACACTATATGTATCTGTCCCCGTAGCATCATCATCCCTATTTATATTCCCACTGCTGGTGCACAGTCCTTCCTTATGGATGGCATAGGGAGATTGGGCCATGACTCACCACGTGGGCCCAGTGCGGATTGGTGGGTGCTAATGACTGCAGATGCAGCAGGGACCGACAGCCTAACGTACCTTCCGAAGCACGGAGCAGCTCGAGATAGTACATTTTTGGTTACTCATCCGATGACCGAGCACTACGAAAGTTGCTTAACTTCAACGACCGCAGCACAACGCGCTAACAACGCGAGCATCCACCTCCTCGTAGCATGCACACCACAATTTACATTGTCACGTTTTATCGCATCGAACTGTCAAACTCCATAGTAATTTAACAATTGAGCGTGATAAAAACGAAGTATATATCATATCAAGGTCACGGTAATAATATCATACAGTATTCTATCTTCATACAAACGGTCGGAAAGCGAGTCATACCTACGCCACTCGAGTTCGATGTGCTCTCGGCGTGCACCCAGTCGCGAATGCGCCGCCGCGCCGCAACTACGACCGAACGGTCTGAATTGTTTTTTATGCAGTTAGCCGTGCTTAAACATGCGTTTTGTATTGTAAATATTTGATTTAATTAAGTAGATACCTACATAATTTAGTATGGAAAAGAACAAACGACGATCAATATCGTACAACAGCACAATTGCTGTTTTTGGTTGCTTGAACTCTTCAATAACACACCCAGAGATATCATTTTTTAAATTACCTGAAATATTGTAAAGGTGTCTTACCTTTATATTATCTACTAGTACGTTATTTGTTTCTAATATTTAGGTATTTCGGTTTTTCCATCGGGCAAAATATCTGGAATAATATATAAATAAGTGGTTAGGATGAAAAAAGAGACAAACGAGTAATCTAGCTACACTCGCGTTAAAAACAAAACTACATAAAATATTGTAGGCTGGCGGCCCTACCGCGTGCCAACACAGCGCTCGGTGTAGGCATTTATTTTCAAGGACAGGGCGGAGTCACAATACTGTATAGATAATATTACCGTGTCAAGGTGCTCATGCTAGGGGGCTGATCATCATTGTTAATTTAGTATTGGTGGAATGCGATGGTAGTTTGATAATGTTTATAAGTTTGACGCTATCTTTTAATCGACTTCACTTTTATCTATATACCATAGATAAAAGAGATTTTTTAATGAGGGTTTTCTATGAGGGACATCAGGTGGCAGCACTGAGACGAAAGGTCTACTCATCCGTCAAAGCGCGTATGTGTTCATAGCATAGAAGTATAAGAATAGAGTGGGGAAGGCGGCTCTAAAAGTGTCCGTCTAGTAGAAAGAGAAAGAAGATGAGAGACGGCTTGCTATTTCTCTCTCTTGTGACGCATGGCATCTAATGGCATCACATCGAAATAGTATGATGCTTACGGTTGCCAATGCGCATGCGCGATTAGAGAGAAAGCTAGCAGTCTCTCATTTTCTTTCTCTTTCTATTAGAGGGACACTTCCACTTGTAGTAGAGTCTATATCTCGCCTACTCTATTCTTATACCTCTATGGTTCATAGTCTACGGGTCAATTTAAATACTCGGTTCATTTAGTTCGCGCCAAACACTTCATATACAAAAGACCTCACGTCACAGTGGCGCCAACTGGTGACGTAAGTTTTCATAAACACCCTCATTCCTTTCATCATGCCATAACTTCAGAACTATTTATTTTCATCTCTTTTTAAAAAGTTTTCTAATATGTTGTAAATTTATGAATTAAAAAGTTTGGCAGAAAATTAATAATTTTAAGACTACTTTAGTCAAAAGTCATAAAATTCATGAAACGTAATTTATAAATGCTCCCTTAGGTCCAATTGCCACAAGTTGGCTGAATCTTGGTTTAACTCAAAACTAAATTAAGTTCATAAAATCATGTCAAATTGTCATTTTTCTATGGGTTAAATCTAGTTTTAGTTTTGTCGAAATTCAACAAATTTTCTGCAAGTTGGCCTAAAAGCCTATATCTATTGAAAAATTACGTTTAACTATCAACGGATCATTTTTATTATTGTAGGTATAAATCTGAGGCCCGCGACGCTAAGAAGCGAGTCAAACTGCTGACTCACCAGAGCACTCTTCTGATGGGAGAATTGGAGGCTGATGAGAGACTACTTCTACTCCTGAATGAAGTGGACAGCCTCAAGGATGCCCTGGAAGACCAGGCTGATAGGCACCAGGAACAGATAGAGGAACTACAGGTAATGTAGCTATCGTACACTAGTTACTAAGGGATTCTGAATATATATAAAAACATAGTGATACTTTTTAGGGAAATTCTGTTAATGATAGTTTTGTTCAATGTTGATGAATTTCTTGTTATCATCAGCTAAAAGATGTCTTGAATCATTAATTTCTTTCCTATCAAAAAAGTTTATCCAAACCTTCTTTTATATTTTTTTGCACCGTTTCGATTAAAAATTTATATTTATTAAATTGTTTTTGTAAGTTTATTTAATGGGCGTTCAAATGACACCAATATTGGTGGGGGTAAATGCGTGTGTTAAGGGCTCTAATAACGCTTAAAATTTATTTTCGTGGAGGTGTGTTTTTTTTACGCCGAATGTATTTAAGTTTATAAGTAACACTAATACTAATATATATATATATATATTAGTGTGTACATAACGCTATTATGTTTTTCTAAGACTGGAAATGTACGGATCTGATGTGTAGAGAAGCGAATGAAAAACATCCTCTTTTGTAGCTGATCGAGAGCACTTCCTGGCATGATCAAAGCAATTAAATAAAATCTTATTACGGGATTCGTTTGTATTCTCTGAAAGTTAACCAATAGGAAGCACATTAAAATTCTTAATGATACTTTCACCCGGTATGAAATTTTGTAAACTGAAGATGGCATTTTGTCAAATTTCAGTCACTTAACTCAGATCATTCATTTACTGTAAAGTTGCTCCACATTTTTTTCTAAATATTATTATTTTTTCTAAAGCTATTATAATAATAATAGTAATTTTATTTAGATTTTTGACAATATCATTGATTTATTTGAAGATGTAATAAAAAAAATAGCACTATAACTGTTGATAGAGCTTCAAGATTTCTTCCTTTTTAATGTATGAAAGTAAAAATTCACACTTAGGGAGCACTTGAAAGTACTATTATTTTGAAAATCAGCAAAGTCAAACGTGTGTTTATTTATTTTTTAGGAATTTATAACAGCGATAATAAATGAATCCACGCTTTTTATATTATTTAATATTTAAGGGTAGTGTGCATTTTGTGGATTAAAATTGTACCGCAAAATGGGTGCAAAATATAGGTCAAATACCCAATTATGAATAAATAATGTATTTTTTATTAAAATATAGCTCAAACTAATAAATGTATAAGTACAACATTATAAACAATATTAGAAAGAGGTTTTCTGTTTTTGACCTGAGTCATACTTTTCGCGATAACTTCAGAAATCGCATGTTTCCGAAGCGGATTTTCATAAATTAAATTTATTAATATCTACACTACAAAACAATATCAAATGTAAAGCATCGGCAGACGTCCGTAACTGCCAAAAGTCTAGATAAAGTTAAAAATGAAGACTTTTCGCTGTTATTTATTGATATTCGTTTTTTATAGAAATATAATCATAAAACTTACAATATTATAATTGCTTTAAAATTTACATACATTGCTTAAGAATATAGCTTTTAAGAAATTGATATTACTTTATTTTAAAAGTATTGATATACGAACAGACCTGAAATATATATTCTTAAGAATTACATTTTGTGGTATTAAAAATATATATCCCAAATGTAATTCATGCAAAATTACTACATAATATTAAAGTTCCACTCTTATACTATTCAATAAACTTTTTAAATTTGGTCAGTAACGTTATTAGTAAAATCGAATTTTGATATGCCGTTGTTCTAACATTTTCCATAGTGCAGCGGTTTAAGCGTGAAGAGGTAACGGACAGACACATTCGCATTTATAATTAAGTATGGATCCTATCTTAAAGAACTTTCTCCTTTTTTCTTTCTCACGCAACGCAAAAAACGGATAAGGATGATGAAATGACAAAGCATTTTCGTTACATTGATTGAACACACGATATCGAACTTATATATTACTTCAAGAACTGAAAGATCCTTTTCACCGAAAATTATTGTTTCAGTTAAAACTTACTGAAAAACACGAAGACACAGACATTATACTGTGGGAGGAGAAGATAAAATTAGCGGAAGAAGACGCGCAGAAAGCCCTAGAACGAGCCGAGAAGGCGGAGAGAAAGCTATCTGAGATAGAGAAGAAGTTAGCCGAAGATAGAAAGCCGAAGAGATCGAACCTCATGTCCAGGATAAATTATTTCGAGAGCGGGGGTGAAGCTAAACCGGAAGTTAAGGAGGTCAAACCAGAAGATACAGGTAAGTGATTTTCATGAAGTCATTTAATTATTAAATACATATCTTTGTTGGCTTAAACAAATAAGATCATGTCGTCGCCAGAACTATAATTTTAGTAGCTAGTCAACATCAAGGGTTGAAAAAATCTCCGGGTTTGCGTCTATAACGAGTATAATAACAAAAACAAATTCATAATCCCAATAATGTCGTATTTTCGTCAATATTATATGTAGAATACTCATAATAATAAACACTTTAGTATCAAAAGTCATGATCAAAGTCGGAACAACAAACATAACATGGAAACCTATCATTGTTCTACGAAAATTTAGGGAAAGAACATTCTTTTGGTTGTGTTAGTGGTTACCCATTGTACTATGGTACGGAACTACAGAGCACTAACAGTGGAGCCCACATTACTAAATTTTTGTTTGAATAGGAAATCGCCAAAGTTGGCGAGTTGATGGTGTCGTGTTTTGATTAGCCACGTCAGTGGGAAGTCACGGTTAGAAGGCAAAGGACAATGGCGAACTCCCATGCAAATTTTTGTTGAAAAGTGTTTTTGCGTCTGTAAATGAATTACATGTTGAATTATAGAGTTTAGATTCTCGATTTGATTCGTCTTATTTTAGGAAGGAAGTTTGGATTTATAGATATTCTACTTTGAAGTTTTTGAGGTTATGTCATACCAAGTAATACATAAGCACATTATAAAAGTATTTTCAAGAGTATTTTTATATCAAATATAAAAAATACGTGGAACGGAACTATAGAAGTATACCGGTCCCGTAGATAAGTGACAAAAAATGATTTTTATAATGTATGATCAGTGGGTGTAGGTACTGACCAACTGCGTCAAAAAACTTAATAATACTTAACAGACAAGGGTTATGAGTTCCAATACAATGTCTGTGCTGTAACTTAGCAATTTGAAAATACCCACAGCAATAATAAAGTATAAAAAGGATTTCTAAAAGTGTGTGTAATGGGATATTAATTAAATATGAAACATTTTTATATGTCGGAGGGGCGAGGGGGATCGGCGGTTGGCCACGTGGTCCGTCTTGATCCGCCATCTTGGGTATTCAATGATATTTCCCGAAAATAAAACTGTAGTCTAGTGACCAAGCTCACGTTTAATTTGAATCTTCTTATTACTTTACAAAAACAGTTATAATTGCCAAGGTACAACGGATTGCTTTGTGAAGCGTGGAGAGTTTTGTGCTAACGTCCGTTTACTATCGCGGCTCACGTCTGAATGCCGAATGCCCCTTCCAATTTTTTTTTTGTTTCCTCCCAGGCGGGGGAGAGGGTGAGAAATCCTCATGGATACCCTACAGCCGGCTGTAAGGTTATGTCAGACTCTTACTGACTAAAAAACACCCTTTAATCATGCTTATGGCCAGAAGGGCCTTACAAGATTCATCTGAAGCGATCAACCCCCGAGAGGGGGATGATGCGGCACTGCGTTAGTTTAAACTAGTGCATAGTTTAAAATAACGCAAAATGCGCTTAGAGGACAAGTGCACTCAGATGTGCACTTGAAACGGGAGGGGTCCCTTCCAATGACGCATAGCCCCCTTAAATACTTATTAGCATAGACCACTCCCAAGTGATGACAGCAGTCACTGTCATTACTTGACGTTTCACAAGGCAATGGTACTCTTGACTGATGACATTTGTTGTCGGTTTAACGTTTCGAAGGAGCGAGTGAGACGCCATTCGCCGACACGGCCATACTGCCGCATCACACGTCCTCGTGTGCGTCTGTAACGAAATATCAAGCCAGTAGTATTTACCATTGCTCGGTCATCTCTGACCAATAAAACGCCGTTATTACACAACAATCAGATTTGTTAAAGCTCCTTTTACAACGATGTGAATAGGTTGATTACATACGAACTAAACTGGGCCATAATAAATCGACTTCAAAGGACTCCTGAAGTTCTAGCTCAAACTCAAATTTCAACTTAACATCCGAACATTCCGAACACATGCCGCAATTCTCTACAGTGCCTCCATCAAGTACTTAAATTAATGCATAATGCCTCCATCAAGCAATATACCCTCCAAATGTCTAAGAAACAAAACCTAACGCCTCCCTCAAACGTTATGTAACAGTGCCTCCATCAAGCACACAGCCAACAACGCCTCCATCAAGCGTTGTGCTGTACCCCTAACTAGCGCCTCAGTAACACCTCCATCAAGTGCTACTGAATTCAATCACGCAATGTGTCGGAAACCTCGGGTACATGATCATCACTCTGATCAACTAACTCTTCTAAATCTATTTGAGCTTCAGGCATACTTCTCAGTCTATCGTGAGCATACCTGTATGTTCTTTTGCAATCTAATGCCTTTAACAAGTAATGGTCCTCCCTATCAAGTGACGATAACCTTGCCACCTCTAAGTGACGATAACCACACGTTGCCTCAAGCAACCTAGCCAACATATTGCCTAAATCGAGCAATACATCAGGTCTCTGACCTTAGCAAAGCATAATTAAAATCAACCAAGGCAGGTTAATCGACAATATTCTAATGGTTAGAGTAGAGTTATTTTACCACCAGTACAATTATTTTACTGTGGTCTTCTGTAAGGTAGAGGTTACTTCCCTATGCGTGCGCCGCAATTCTAGCGGAAAATCCACTATGTCCTACTCATTAGCAACTCTAATTTATCAACACTCAGCACTTGAATCGTATGTAAAATGAAAACTGCTCACCGGGCAAGTCGTCGGCCTGTGGCGGTCTTCTCGCGCTGCTAATGTTGCTCTCCAGACTGCTCCATGGACAGTTCTTCAGTGGTGAATGAAGTTATCCTTGTTCGCGTTGAATTCTTGCAAGTGAATCTTTTTGTTAGCCGACGGTAACTTCATCACTTCAATAACGGCCATAAAGTTGCGTTTTCGGTGCTTCACAAATCTCATTCATCTCTCGTCGCCATTACTGATGTTTTTACGCTGGTTTTCATCACTGGGTAATCCCACTTCTGATGTCGGAGGGGCGAGGGGGATAGGCGGTTGCCCACGTGGTTCGTCTTGATCCGCCATCTTGGGTATTCAATGATATTTCCCGAAAATAAAACTGTAGTCTAGTGACCAAGCTTACGTTTAATTTGAATCTTCTTATTACTTTACAAAAACAGTTATGATTGCCAAGGTACAAACGGATTGCTTTGTGAAGCGTGGAGAGTTCTGTGCTTACGTCCGTTCACTATCGCGGCTCACGTCTGAATGCCGAATAGGCTTGTTGAAAATACATCGATGTATCGATATATCGATATTTCTTGTTCGATATATCGATATTTTTTGCCGATATATTTTGATTCGATATATCGATACATCGATACAAAATAACCAACATCGAAATTCGTATCAAAAACGATATTTTTTTAATTATTAGCCGCATATCACAATCTAACTAAATTCGTCTCTGGAAAAATCGTAACTGGATCTCAGAATAATGATTTTTAACATATCTGTGATCTGTGCTGTATTTAGTATTGTCTATGTCATCATTCGAAAATAGGGTCTATTTTTAGGGAGATATTTTTCGTTCCATTATTATTCCGCGTGTCATATTTCGTGAGCTACTGTACGATATTTTTGGGAAAATTGGTCCGATATATCGATGTTTTTTTCGCGATATATCGAAGCCGATATTGATATTTTTTAAAAATTCGATGTATCGATATATCGATATTTTTCTCAACTTTCGACATCCCTAATGCCGAATGCCGAATGCCCCTTCCAATGACGCATAGCCCCTTAAATACTACCCTTAGCATAGACCACTCCCAAGTGATGACAGCAGTCACTGTCATTATTTGACGTTTCACAAGGCAATGGTACTCATGACTGATGACATTTGTTGTCGGTTTAACGTTTTGAAGGAGCGAGTGAGACGCCATCCGCCGACATATATATATTTTTTATTCCAAATCTTTGATCACAATATCGTAGACAGTAGATACAATGAAATAAAATCCACAGTATGGGACAGAATCGTATCCAAACTCCACATCAAGAAGTCGTCCAAAATATCAGATTCGGAAGTCTTAGGCAAGCATTACTCAACAGTCGCAGGGAAAAACGAAAGTCTAATGCAGTCCAAGTGCAATTCACATAAAAAAACAAATCTGAGAAAAAAACACAATACGCCCATTTAAATCTTTGCAATACATGTGTATTATGCACTTATGCACAACCAACGATAATTATAACTATAACAACAACAATGCGATGACAAGCATGACAGGGACACTTATAGTTTTTTGCGTTAGAATTGGCGCCATACTCTTTTTGTATTGTGGAGATTATTTATTATGGTTCCATTTTCATATTGAAAAATAATGTTTCTCGGTATTTTTGATAGATAAATAAATACAGTTTAAGCATAAAGTGTAAAAACATACGAACAACATATTTAAAGTTGATTTTATCACTAAAATCACTTAAAATAAATGGTTCAAAAGCCATGATGCCAAGGCACGATAAAACAAAAAAAAATAGTTAATTGTGTTTCCCTTTTTTAAGTTTTTAATTCCAGACTTAGACAACCCTCCTCAATAGGCTAGTTGCCTATATTTTAAAAAGTGGTTAATAATATACCTTGATGTTTATTTAACCCCAAAAAAATATTATTTTATATAAAAAAGTACAATAGCAATATGTATTTTGTATTTTAAAAAAAATATTCAAATTTCCCTCGAAAACGCTCTAGACTGTCATGGCGTCTAACCTAACCTAACCTCCCCTAACTACTCCCCCCCCCCCGGAGACGCATAGTTTCAGAGATATTCAATAAAGAAGGTACGACCGCGATACCAAAATTTGGGGTTTTGGAGGATGGGGGGAGGAGGGGGGGACCTCCCAAACCCCCCCTAACTACTCCCCCCCCCTCGGAGACGCATAGTTTTAGAGATATGCAATAAAGAAGATACAAACGCGATACAAAAATTTGGGGTTTTGGAGGATGGGAGGGAGGGGGAGCCCCCCAAAGCCTAGTTGTTCTAGTTGCCAAATGATATGCTTATTTATGTCGAGTAGTTATGCGATTAACTTTTTATTTTGTTTAAAATATTATTATTTGCTTCGGTAAATCCCAATTCCATGGATTTATTAGGCTTCCTTTCAATACTTATCTGAAAACAAACTGATAAATTGTATCAAAGTAACAATAACATGAATGAGATATCAATGAAATGTATGGAAACGGCAACCACAAGTAATGTTTTGCACGTGGTGACGTCAGTCTTTCTGATTGGTGTTTGCCGTCACGTGATCTAATGCCTATTTTATTCGAATTTATTTTCTAAAAATAATAATAATCTTTAATTATTATGATAAATAGCTTTATTTTTTGTTATCTGTATATCATAATTCATATTTAGAAACTGTAACCCATTCGATTTATTGTTAGTTGACACAAGCCTATTGTTTAATAAATCTTCTGAGATTATATTAATAACATTTCTGATAATGACATCTATAGACGGTAAAGATTAACTTCAACAAATATTTCGCCATTGTCCTTTGGTGAAACGATGAATCGTCGCTCGTTAGTAAATAGTATTACTGTAAGCTTGGCACAAGCGTGTGCCCTTGCATGCGGATCCTAATGGAAATGCTCTTTGTACGGAACCCTTTGTGTATGATTTCTCCTTTGTTCGCAGCTGTGACACCACAATCTACACCTGTCGACACAGAACCTTCCCCCACAATCCCTCCTATACCTCCCCCTCCACCCACTTCCTGCCCCCCGCCCCCTCCCCCTCCCGCGCCGCTATCTTGTTTACCTCCCCCTCCTCCACCGCCTCCACCGCCCCCGGCAGTGTTTGAAGTCTGCCCTCAAGAGAATATGGCGCAAATGTTGGCCAACAAACAAGGGACGCTGAAGAAGACTAAGCAGAACGGCGGTAGGAAAATATATTATACTAGCTGACCCAGCGAACTTCGTACCGCCATAAAAAAATTTAATTAAAAAAACATTGTCCAGCGGACAAAATTGTGAATCTAAACCATTCTCAGATCCCCTTGAACACACACAAAAAATTTCATCAAAATCGGTCCAGTCGTTTAAGAGAAGTTCAGTGACATACACACTCACAGAAGAATTATATATATAAAGATTAAATCGATGAATATTTTTAACATTGACTCGCAACAATCACAGTCTTGAAATTACGCATACTGTTTCGTTTCAAAAGCATTAAATTATTGAAAATGAATATTTCTTACACTCACAACAATTAGCCTAGCCCCCAAAGTTCTTCTGTTATGGGATACTAGGGTAAAGTAACGAAATACATATTAATAAGGATATTTTTGTCATGTATATAGTATAGGTACAAATGTTCAGATTCATCAAACAAAGATTTGCTCCACCGGGATTCGAACTTATAATCGAATAGACGACACCTTGAAAACCGGCGTAGATTCCACCAATGCCATGTGCTAATTTGAGGGGCTTTATAGATGTTATTAGTGTCATCACTTCTATTGTTAACTGTCGCATTTATTGCGTTACTTTTTATATGAACGCGCTGTGCTTTGACCTGAGTAAGGCTTTTCACTTTGTTGAAGTGTTACAAAAATTGTTTTAGAAACGCCATATATTTACAGGTTGCAAGCAAAATGACAAAATAGCTAATTAAATGTTCACAAAAAAACTACACCTTTAACTTAAATTATAATAAAAAAAAGTGTCCCATAGGGTAGTGTTTCTGACCATTTTTTTACTCTTTTTATATTATTTCTTACTTACCTTTGAAAACCCCTTTTGTCACTTATCCCACGACCGGCCATTGCGAAAGTTACTTCACTTCCGCTATCTGTGAACTCACAAAATTATCTCTTACCGCCAGGTGGGGCGATAGACGCAATAGTCGATCAAATCAAAGGTGGCAAGTTCCATCTCAAGTCCACCGATCAAAACTTCATGGAGCGAAGGCCTAAAGACGACCAACCCGAAGCGGTGAAGGAAATGCTCGCGATATTGGGAACTCTAAGGAAAAGGAGGAGCGTGAAAGGACCGGATTTGGTTCCTGGGGAGACTGATTTTTGACCGGTAAGGAGTGTTTTTGAGTGACAACTATTTTTATTTTTCAGGTAACAGATTACCACAAAGAACTGAAATTAAAAATACTTTTTTAGACGCAATGAAATAAAACAAACAACAGTGCTCACATTATGTAAACTTTTATTAAATCACAACTGTAAGAAAGGCGCCTGAAAGGATCCGCAATGCCAAGAATTATGTAAAATATATTTTTAAACCCGTTTAAATGTGTTTTGTTAAGGGCTTTTTGTAAACTTGCCATATACATAGCATAGTGAATTTACCACGTTGAAAAACCATATAAAATTAGCCAAAGTTTATGTTAACTGTATAAATTAAATTTGCTTCATGACAAGAACATACAGCCTCACATTCAGTTACCACAAATTGACAATCTTTCTCAATCTATTGCGAATCTTATATCAGCCTCCATAAAGCTCAAACTTGTGGATAAGAAATATAACAGTTTTGGCTAACTTGACCTGTTTAACTACTTCTGAACACGTTACCAAAATAAATTAAGGGACATATTAAAACGAGCTTATTTACACACAATTTATACGATTTAATATAAAGTATCAAATTTAATATTGTATATAGATATTAACATTTTGATATGGGGTTTTATAAAAGACATACGTTTTTGTCTGTTTTTTTTTTGCGCTACGTATAAACGTCGTATATTATTGTTATTTAGCTCATAATCACTTATTATCATTAACTAGGTAATTATCCTAATAGCTACTACTTAGGTACATGTACTGGACGGATATAATGAAATGATTACTATTTTGAACGAAAAGCTTGCTTAGCGTACCATTTATTGAAGCATTTAAATTTAACATTTTACAAACAAACTAGGTACTAACGTTAGATAGAATATTTTTTATTGAATATACCTAATTCGTATTCTCATTCAAACTGATGCTATAAACTATAAATTGTAAGATGAACTTTAATTAAAATTCTTGAAGGTTCATTTTTAATCGACAAATACATCATTATGAAATTTGTGATTCCCGATAATTTATTAAATCTACGATATGTAAGTAGATTTAATGATAGTATTAGACAAAAATATTTTTTATATATTCCGAAAACAGCTATTGCATACGATGGTTAAGCATGAGTATGAGGTAAATAGTTAAAACCTGTCAATTTTTTACTGATAAAATAATGATATTAAAAAATTAGAGACTGCTCACCGTTTGTTAATAAAGTGTCTGATTTTATTAATATAAATAGCTAAAATGTTATTTTTGGAAGAAAATGGAATTGTTTTTTGCTATACATTAAATCCACTTTTTGTACACATTATTTATAGAGGGTAGTGACAGAGTTAGCTCGATAGATTTAATCCATAATGCTCCCACACTTGCGAGACTAAGGTTCGGGTGTTTGGTACTAAAATGCGCTGAAATCATCGTTCGAACTTTGTAGGTGCGCTCCTTCAGCACATACAAATTTATCGTTTTGTCAGTCAAGCTATCGTCTAGCCTCTATAGACACGCTGTCCGCTAATTCATTAGGACAGAACTAATTCAAATTTCGAACGCAAATTTTCGCTCATTTTGTACCAAAGCCACCCGAAGCTTCGTTGCGCAGATGTGGGAGAAGCATGAGATGATAACTTATGCATGGTCAGTCCATAGACGAGTTTCTCAGCTAGTGGTAAAACATAGTCTAAAATTGTCGAGTGTGATTCAACCGAATTTCATATAAATTACTAAACTTTGTCCCCCTTATTTAAAAAACAAGGAATAAGCTTAGTATAGTTACGCCGTGTTTTGTTCATGTAACTTAAATATCATTTTTCATTCAAATGAGAGAGCCAAAACATGGAGTAACTAATCCAAGCGTAGTCTTCGTTTATTAATACGGGGGTATATGGTATTATATACTATAGTTGTAAAAATCCTTAATATAAGGGTTTTTTGGAAGGATAAATTATAACATTTGTCTCACGAAGTGCCTCACCGTACCTGGCTATGTATTTATTTTTAATAAGACATAAATAATCATGTCAATTAATCACGAGTGCCAAGGAATTACTGCCAATTTTTTTTATAGAAAATATTATGTTAATGATTTTATAAATAAAAGAAAAATGCGATGGATTTACTGTATCAAACTTGCGTATGGTATTCCTGATTTTTGACAATTTTAAAAATATATGATCTCGTTTGTAAAATGCATTTAAAACATTAAGTGTGAGTTGCACCAACTTACTTTAACGTTAACTGACATGTCATATTAAAGTTGTAGTAAAATTTTACCTTAACTAGCTCTGTGGTGCAACTTACACTAAAATGTTGTTCTAAATTTTTTTTTCCAGTTAAGTAAAGCTAATAAGATTGTGTTACAAATGGTATTGTAGTACTTATATGGTCAAGTCATTGTTTATGTGGCATCTTAATTTTATTTCATGACTGTTTTAAAATTATGGTTACTATCAATAGTTAGTATGGTATATGCAGTATTTAATTTTAAAATTCTTTCTTTAGTAACATGATTTACATTACTGAATGGTACTTCGGAATATATTATTAATATTTGGAATTTAGTTTTACGTATTTACTTCTTTTAAGTAAATACATATTTACATAAAAGTAATTCCGAATCCAAATTATTACAGTTTTACAAGATTTTGGAATACTCTACCATTAAACAAATAAGACTTTAATTTATTTGTTGTTATGCCAAGAAGATTGTGGTCTCCCATTTTTAAGGGTAATCACATGAAGTTAATCACTTTATTGGTGTAAAACTAGTATGAACTATTAAATTTTAATGTAAGGAATTTTCGCCCATAAGTGTTTTAGAGATCTAACTTTAACAATATTACACAGCGCAATTTTACTGTATGATAGGTAATTAACATATATAATATCATATAAAGTTATAAATAAATATTTATTACCATATCCACAATAATTTATAAGACTTGTTACAATCAACGATTTTGTTAAAACAAACGTATGTTCTTTTTTCTATTTTGTGACTTAATTATTATTAAAGATTATTGTTTTGATCTGAATACTCTAAAAGTTAGTGTTTTACGAAATTCAATCTTTGTTATTGTTTACTCTGACATGAATATTATATTAAATAAGTTAATTAATGTTAAAAATAAAATGATGCTCCCAGAGAGGGTATTTTAGGAATTGACAGCATATTATCAAAGTTACCGGCGGTGCCATTGCTTTCGATCGTAGATATCTTATCAAAATTGAACGAGCATATATATTTAATTCAATGTAAAGTATTATTTAGGTTGTAAGTTTAGTTTTTTTATGTATTAGCAATAAATTTACTTTTATACTGTAATGTGTGTTTAATGGCTGTTTTGATTTTTCCTACATCTGTATTTGGTGTGTACCGTGTAAGTATAAGAATTACTGATTACTTTACATATTAAATAATTCAGACTCGTATGCATCATCAATTCATTCTGCCTAAATATATTGAACAAGAGATTTAGTCTAAAACCACATTGTTGGTGTTAAGCTAGTAGACAATCTAGAAGCTATAGTCTATATATATATATATATATATAGTCTATATCTAGAGACGTCATTTGCAGTAGATATTAGGACTATGACCAACTGCGATTATAACCGGGTTCCGTTTCAGTGAACCTAGGCACTTCCGATGTCCCGTTTACATGCAGCTTATTCACGCGGTAACCAGCAGGGGTATGGCCACAAAGTATGTGCGTGTGGACTGAGTGATCTTTTCAAAAAACTCATCCAATCACAACCAAATTATAAGAGGATTTAGGAAATAATTGTGAAAACTTAATGGTAAGGTATAAAATTTGTGAAACCTAAACAAAGAAAGTTAGAACTAATTAACTGGATCACTCAATCTGGACACCTGAAGAATAAGCCATAACGCGTATCCAAGAAAATACTACCTATGTGTTTATAATTTGTATTTGAAATAATTGTGAAGAATTTGTGAAAGCTGCGAAACAAATTTTCGATTCATTTCAAAGCCACGTTTAAGATTTAGAACGGTTTATATGGATCACTCAGAATGCACTATGTTCATTTGAGTGATCTTTTAAAACACTACCTTATACTGAAAAAGTATGAAACATTATCATGTTTATTATAAATTATGCTTCTGGGAAAATTTGTGAAACAAAGATCGGGATTGAAATCTTACTGGTTTAAGAGAAAATGAAAATTTTGTTTTTTCTCGATCGTCCCAACTGAGTGATCCTTATCTTGAACTATATTTAATGAACCCAAACTTATAGGTAGAAGGTAGTTACATCAGAAATAGTGAAAAATGTTGTACTAAAATTTGACGAACCAATCGTCCCAGTAAGTGTTATATTTTAAAAGATAACTCATTTTTTACAATCCCTAAGGAAAACGTTGAGTAGGGTGACCATATCGGTTTACTTGAGTACCGAGAGTTGTGTAAGTTTTGTTTTTAGAAGTTTTAAAGTTGTTTTTAGAGTGTTTTCACTACTTAAGACATAATTTCAACATAAAATGACGTTTTTAATTCGAAAAAAGGAATTCTACACACAAAACAAAGATCAGAATTTTTTAAGTAACCAAAGAAATTAACTTTTTATTATTCTAAGTTTTTTTCTAACATTCATAGTTTTCTAGAACGTAACCTAATCCATAAATCCGTAGGACAAAGTATGTAAAATAACTGGTTCTTCTTCTTTGCTGTTATACATTTTTCCCATCAAATCATCATAACAGGCTATTTTTTCGTTATGGACACCATGCCCTCTGTAGTGGCCAATATTATCGGGACTTCATTCTTTGCACTGCCCCCATCATTACCCCATTGTGGCACAACGATGCCTTATATCAAAGTACTTGCTCGATGCTTTGGATAGGTTACAGCGGCGCGCGATCCGCATCATAGGCGATGAGGAGGTGACTAAACACCTTGAGCCTCTTCAATTACACCGTGACGTGGCGTCACTAAGCGCGTTCTATCGTCCACGGCGAGTGTTCTGAGGAGTTATTCTCTCTCATTCCACCTTCCCCTTTCCTTCAGAGGACCACGCGCGCTGGTCTACGTTGTCACCGCCTAACTGTGGCCACAATTCCAACGCGTACAAAGAAATTTGGTGACTAATTTCTTTGTCGCACTATCCGTAAATGGGATGCTCTGCCCGCTCACTCCCTCTTACAACCTGGGATCCTTTAAAGGAGGCGTGAAAAGGAGATTGCTCAAATTGGCCTATATGCACAAAAAATATTGATATACACGGTAATTCTTGGCGTAATTTATAATTTCATTTACAGTCATTAGATTTCAACGGACACCTTTGTATAATATATTTACTTTAAAAAGGACTTTTAATTTTACCGGTTTGAAAAACATACGAATCATTTTTAATGGCTATGGGTGTAGTAACATTCAGCCAAAGACTGATCGAAGTTGTTTAAATAACATAAAAACAAATCTGTTTTGTAAAAATATTTTTTTTATTTATTACACTGTGGTATTAATATCCACAACTATAATATTATTATTTTCACTAGATGCAAATGTGCTCAGACAATTATTATAGATGGTAGGCGACATCATAAAGTATTGCCATAAATTTTTCGCCCAACACCTCCATAAACACATTATAATCTGTATTTATGTTAGACTTTAAGGTATCTATCTATGGGCCTACGTTCCCTGACTATAAATTAATAAATAAATAAAATGATAAGGTGATACACTAAAAATCTAAAATATGGTTATCTTAAAAACATAACAAAAATAATGAAGCTACTGAATATATATATGGCTATAGAACCTAAATCTCTTAGCTTTCTTTGGTTAACGAGAGTTTAAAAATTCTCTCTAATCTGTGGCTCATTCACAATCATCACACAGTTTCTGTCACAGAATACCTTATTTTAACCGGAAATGACACCTGATTTTAAATGTTACTCTTATGCATTAACTTTAAAAACAGGCAACTATCTGTTATTCTACATGCTCTATATACCTGAATCTAATCCATAATTTCGGTACTTGGCTTGATTTCCCTAGTTTACTATATAACTTATTTCTTTTTTATTATTTTAATATGTTCAGTGTATATGGTTTATAGAAGTTCTCAGGGGTGTCCGTCAATAATATTCGTTTCTACAGTAATTTATATATAATTTCGAATCTAGGAAACAATTTTTCATGATTATTTGTCTTTAGGCCAAACATGTATGGAAGCTGAGCAATCTCCTTTACCTTTACTTAACATCAGGTGGGGTGGAGTCATTCTTGCATTAAATGCACTGCACAACGCCGCCAGCTTCTCAAATTGCAAGGAATATACACAATGTAAGCATTGAATAGGGTAGTCGAAAAACTCCGACAAAATAAAAAAGTACAAGTACCCTACTCAACGTTTTCCTTAAGGATTGTAAAAAAAGGGGTTATCTTTTAAAATATAACACTTACTGGGACGATTAGTTCGTCAAATTTTAGTACAACATTTTTCACAATTTCTGATGTAACTACCTTCTACCTATAAGTTTGGGTTCATTAAATATAGTTCAAGATAAGGATCACTCAGTTGGGACGATCGAGAAAAAACAAGATTTTCATTTTCTCTTAAACCAGTAAGATTTCAATCCCGATCTTTGTTTCACAAATTTTCCCAGAAGCATATTTTATAATAAACATGATAATGTTTCATACTTTTTCAGTATAAGGTAGTGTTTTAAAAGATCACTCAAATGAACATAGTGCATTCTGAGTGATCCATATAAACCGTTCTAAATCTTAAACGTGGCTTTGAAATGAATCGAAAATTTGTTTCGCAGCTTTCACAAATTCTTCACAATTATTTCAAATACAAATTATAAACACATAGGTAGTATTTTCTTGGATACACGTTATGGCTTATTCTTCAGGTGTCCAGATTGAGTGATCCAGTTAATTAGTTCTAACTTTCTTTGTTTAGGTTTCACAAATTTTATACCTTACCATTAAGTTTTCACAATTATTTCCTAAATCCTCTTATAATTTGGTTGTGATTGGATGAGTTTTTTGAAAAGATCACTCAGTCCACACGCACATCACAAAGTGGGTGTTGGCATGTAAACTGGGGTCTCTTCAATTGACGTTGGCGCTCGCGCTGCCCATCGATCTCCCAAAGGCGGTTTTGTGCGCATAATGTATGTATACTCATACTACCACTGACCTTGCTACAATAGTATTTTGAGAAGTATACTTTAAAGCAACGTGAAGAGCAATAACAGTGTCAGGCGTCGTTCAATTGGCAACAATCGTACGATGGCGCGATGCGTACTCATCGTGCGATGAAAATTATGTACCTGTGCTCGTGCGACGGCTTACGAGTTGTATTAGGACACCTCTGAAGCATTATGTATGTTAGAAAATCATCGCACGACAAGAACGCATTAACGATCGTACGATGAGGCGATGCGTTCTTGTCATGCAATGATTTTCAAACATACAGATTTTTTCAGAAGTGTCCTAATTACAGCTCGTAACACTGATAAGAGGATGAAGGTTTCAGGATCGCATACGCACACCAGTGTATGCAGATTAAGCGACATGTCGCCTAATGGGCTGTCTTGAGGACTGGCGCGTCTAGGAAATTTTTGAATGGCAACTTATCGCCTCTTGGCTGACAGCATCGCACTATGTCCATCGCGCGATCTATTAGGACACCCCTATTCAATTAACGTACAATTATGACGACGATTGTTGTATGCTTATTTATGCCTAACATAAACGTATAAACGATAAATCGCTTGAGGTTTGTCGTTCGAAATCTAAATCACACTTAGCTCGGCTGTTAGCATTAAGCGAAGCTGTTTGTAGTGTAACCCAAGCTTAAAGCATATCGGAAATGAAAACACCAATGTCATAAAACACGTGTAATAGCGATGTTCACACACAGTAAGATCGCGGGCGTGTGGAGGTCACTCCAAGCCCTTAGCTTCAACATAATAAGCTCGTCGTCTGCGTCACTGCAAGAGATGATTGACACAATTTAGGAATTAATACAGCCGTCATAAATTTTGAACGTGCATTTAGATCAAGCGCATATTGAGCCACTAAACGCCGCTAGTAACTTAGTGGCAGCCACTCGAACGCTTAGTTTACGCCGATTCAATACAAATTGTATGAAAAAGACAATAGTGGCTTAATGTGCGCTTGCTCTTATATTCCGGTCAATTTAGACATTCAAAGGTGCATAAATTCCCATCAAGCTGTCAGTCAGTGGTTCAAAACCTATTTAAAAATAACTCATCGTTCCGGTACATGGAAAAAATATACTCGAGGTCAAAGGACAAGAATATTTCGCTATTTTCATCAATACGGTAATACTTTCGTCTTGAGATACTGAGGTAATTTTGACGCGAAGATTTTCCGTAGCTTCCGGAACGCTGCCCATCCGAGCTGGATACGATGAGAGATCTCTTTATCAAAGTTGGCCGACCCACAGACATATTCATTGATAATAATTAAAGAAATAAATTGCTGCATCCGACGGACTGCGCCTAAAATTAGGCTGGTAAGTGCGAGAGGCGAAGCGATTATGCGGGCAATAGTTGGTAGAGGTATTAGCTGCATCATTGCTTTCTCTTTTTCTAACTAAGTCTAGCAATTTTCTAGTCCATTCTGTGACTGTCTGCAACCAAATTACGTCGTTCATCCTAGAAGTTAAGGCGTCCTTTACCCGAACGTGAGTAAAATAATATTATTGCAGAGGGTATCCGAAATGTAGTACCTAATGTCTTTTGTGCACCCGAATACGGGTTAACAACCAAGTGATGCGATAATTGTCAGATCTCCAAGGGATTTTTGTAGACCGCTTAATTGAGTCCTCGACTGAGGGGTAAAGGGTGTGGGGGAGGATGAGAACGGGGATAGTGAGAGGTGCGGGCGGCGGGCGCTTGTAATTTTGACAAGAATGTGCCTACCGCCCGCATCCCCCACGGTCCCCGTTCTCGTCCTCTCCCACACCCTCTGCCCGCAGGTGAAGACTCAGTTAAGCGGTCTACCTATAGGTAGGAGGAAGGGATCAGGATCACAAGCGTATATAGGCTATAGGGACCGCTTACCAGATTACCATCAGGCAAGCCAAAAAAATAAATAAAAAAATTGCAATAGTCATAAAATAATATTTATTCAATGAAAATTAACACATTATAAAAATATCGGATCAAATTAAAACTATTTATGCCTGTGCCAGTTTACATATTTAGGATAATATATTATCTTGGACGGAATCCTCAGAGGTTTCGATTTACTATCTAAAATATTTATTCCATACGTACTTACAATTCACAATAACTTGTATATAATAAATCATAACAATGTATAGACATTATGAATATATAGGATTTTCAAATATTTAACATATAGTTATTATGATTATACAACCACGCAGAATTGAACAAATATAAAAATTAATAATAAAATGAATAAGTGTAACTTTATATTAAGTGCCTAAGTTAAGTAGTTATTTTACCGTTTTTTGTTATTGTGATAAAATGTGATGATGTTAATGTTTTAATACACTTTCAACTATGTATTAAGTCAGTAAAATATTAATTATATTGACGAGTAAAAAATAAAAATATCTCTAACAAAATTATGACCTTTACTTTTGTCCTTCATCTAATAAATAAATAATTTACAAATATGGATACAAAAATATATAAAATAATTGCAGATCATTTTGTATCCTACAGCATAGAAAATGTATCACAGTCACAGTTAAAGTCTCAATCCCATAGGCGCGTTTTTATCATTCGATACTATCTGATGCGTTATTGCGATAAGGTCCTACTTCTTTTGCGAATTTGCGACGCTAGTATCGCAGCAGTATGTAACTTCATAGCCGTTCTAATACATAATGTGCTAAAAACAGATAACGCATCCAATATTATCGACACATAATGAAGCGCCTACGGGGTGAAACCTAAATATCCAACGAACTTTGTTTTGAATTCAGGTTGAGGGTAAATTTTACGATGAGTACTTCGGTAGCTGCTCTATTAACGGCACGACTATTATGAAATTTACGAAACGAGCTAGTATTGGCTTGTTCTGACGAAAGCTAGGCTTCTCTGTCATTGGCTGAATTTTATCCCGAATAATACCCCCAACGCCTCTTTTAATATACTCTTTTACGCATGGCGCGATGGTGTCACACTCGATATGTTATGTATCGCAAAAATTGAAAGCATAAAGTTGGGTTGTCCATTCCATCTGGATATTACTGGTGTTTCGGGTTCTCTAAACATAAAAAAGAACAAAAAAGAAACTATGAAACAATCTGCCTTGTCATTATCATTGGTCGTTTATCATTTTAAACGACGAACGACATTTTAGGTGACGACCTCCGCGGTCGAGGGGTTTGTACGCCAGGTTTCAAGGTGTCGCCTAGGTACTCGAGAGGTCCCAGATTCGAATCTCGGTGGGGGCAGATGTTTGTGTGATGAATACGAGCATTTGTACTCCAGTCATGGATGTTTAATATGTATTTCTATATAAAAATACTTATATATGTACTGTATATGCATTCTATCCGTTACCATAGTATCCCATACCACAAGCCTTACAGTGCTTACTTTGAGGCTAGGCTAATTAGTGTGACTGTTGGAAATATTATTTAATAATTGTATCAAATCAGTTATGTCAATTAGTAAAGTTAAAAGACCCATAGCCACTACCTACTTAAGTACCTACAACCACCACACTTAAATAAGTACTAAAACAGCGTAGCGACTATTTACTCATATACAATAAATCAATGTAGGTTATAAACAATCCAAAAAACCGCATTTTCTATTTTCATGCTAAAAATCTAAAATGATCTCTAAAGCTAACAATGGTCTCGATTCTGGCAAGATCCTCTAAACTTATAACTTAATTTAACATCAGTCTCTTCTTCTTATTCCATTTAGAGAATAACAAGTAAACACTTTTGTGAAACTTAATTTTAGATTCAGAGAATCATGCAGCATCGACAACAATATTATCAATACTGATGTAATATAATAGTAATAAAAAAAGAAGTAGTAAAGAAGCAAATATTTTTTCAATATTATAAGATTTCTTAAATACAGCATTGACAAAAAAACGTAAGTAAGTTGTTAATTTCATTTTAACAGCCTGCGCAGGCGAGTGTTAACAGTTAACATAGAGTGCGCTTAACTAAATTTTCAAAATGTTCGCACACTGTGTGTGTAAGTCCGTGACAAATCCTCGGCGAAAATTTTTTTCACGATTCAGGAACTTTTGTCCGCAGATGACCAAAATCCCTCGTCTGCGCAAGTTATTAATCGCACGCCCTGACTCCCTGATTTGTTGGTAGGATTATTTGCACTTGTAGCCATAACATAAAACGATTAATTAGTGATTGTATTATTGGTAATGGAATTGTAGCATTGGTACCTACCCATACGAAGTACCCATATCCACTGGCACTTAGCAGTTTTCGTTTCGCGAGAGATAAGATTCTATCCAATATTTTGTGAGAACTTTACAAGTAAGTATTAAATATTAATGTCATTCCCATGAAAATCAAATTAGAATAAGAACAGAATTAGAATAACATAGTTAATTGTGAACTTTTTCATCGTCAAGATTCGAAACAATTGAATATAAATCGCAAACAATATTACAGCGAAATGCCAAATTCGGCACAATTTTTTGAACCTTTGTTCCTACCGGGAATCTGTAACTTAAACTTGAACTGCAACAGATCTAACCGACAAATTGGGAGGATATTTACAAGTCCGATCCATAAAGCGTACCTAAAACTCAATAAGTACTTAAGAATCAAAATAAAAACACGAGAAAGTAATGACAACAACTAAGTAAACTTAATTACTGTTTCTAAACTAATGCCCAAATACAAAGCTTAGCTCAACTTTCTATTCTTCAACATCGTAAAATTTATTTTATTTTATGTCACGTGAGATAATTGGTGCCCGATTTTATTTTGGATACAATAAGAATTTGATAGTGCATAAGTAAAAAAAATAAAACTGTTCCTTCTATAAAACGAATAGGGCTTAATAGCAAGCATTCTTTGAGCAGTTTTATATTTAAAAAAATATAATCAAGAAATTAAGTATATACATAGTTAAGTACTTATAATTACACTGCACTGCAACGGGGGGTTAATTTTGTACTGGTTTATTAAACTTACTTTTAACCACTTGTACCACAGCTTTTACTACGTATAAAAACTTCGGAATCGATGCGAAATTAGTATTTCCATTTCTATAATGGTTACTGTAACTCAACTTCAAAATCGAAAACCAATTACGACAAGGAATCGAAGCCGAAAACATCTCCGAACTTTTTTGCACGAGGTTCATCACAAACGACACTTTACCTACGAGTACATACAAGTACGTACTATACTTATGTACTATACGAGTACATACTTCGATAAGTACATGTCGATAGTCATAAGAAATAATGAATATTATAAATTGCGCGTAAATATAATGTCGTCGGTGACGAAGTCTTGTAAACGGCCAAAAGCATGTAATCTATCTACTTACTACACAAAAGTCTATTCGAAAAAGATTTAGTAATCTACCACAATCGCATAATCATTATCGAACGATGCTGATTATGCGATTGTGGGACACGTGTTGTCAAAATGGATAGCGGTAAGTTTAAGTAATTATTTTTGTGGGCACCCGTGCTTACCGTACGGTAAGGCGCTTTGCAGACGACGGGGCGGGGCGGGCCGGTCAATTTCGCCGCGAACGATAGCACAAAGTGAATCCTATATTACAAACGCACACAGAGGGCAAAAAGACCGCGCCTTGGGTGCCCGGCGGGCAATGGCGGCGCGGCATGTCCGCGGCTGCCCGCCGTGGATCATACAAACCAGTTTATATGCAGTAACGCAGACGGCGGCGCGGGGCGGTCAGCTCAGTCCGCGCCACACGCTTATTAGTAATGCACTATTCACTAGAACGAACGTCTTAAACTGACCGCCTCTGCCAGTCGTGTGCTTTGTGTACGCGGCGCGGGCAGCCGCAGACATCGACGGGCAGCCGCAGACATCGACGGGCAGACGCGGTCTTTATTGCTTCGTGGACAAAATGCCCGCCCCGCCCCGTCGTCTGCTCAACGCCTAAGAGTTCTTTATATTCATGGGCGTAGCTAGAGATTTTTCCCTAAGGGGGTCAGGCAGGGGCGCTTATTTGCACACTTTCCCTAGAATTAGTTAATCTCAAACTGACATTTAGATCAGTTACGAATGTCTTTTGTTTTTCCTAGGAGCTGCAGACGTCCATTTAAATTCATTCCTACTAAATTAATTTTCTATTCGTATGCAACTCAAATTCTAGGGTGGGCAAAGAAATGTCTGGCGTGGGCATTGCCTATCTTTGCCTACTAGCTACGTCCATGTTTATATTTGGTGGAAGGGTAGTGTTAAGGTCATCTGACTACGTTCTACGGTGTGGTAATGTGGTGGTCACTGGTGAGGGGTGGTAAACTCACGCGGAGTTCTCTCGCATGAGTGTCACGAGCGATTGTCGATGTTTCGACACCCAGGCTATGTTGACCGTCGCTCGCTCCACCGCCTGCTGTACCGACAGCTTCACTTCCGACAGGTAAGCGGCGTTCTTCTCCCGCCACGATGTGAACTGGTAACAAGCCATTGGTGTATTAACAACATGCTGTGATAGACGCTAGAAGTGACTGCGAAAGTGTATTTTCCCACGCGACACCATAATGCACCTCAAACGATTTGCCATAAAGTTGAAGGTTCTCATACTGCTTTCTTACAAGGAATTTTTGTTAAGTTTAAAAATTATTAGGTACTGTAACGTCCGTTACGTTACTGCCTCCTTGTTTAGGTAAACTCTTTGCTCTTGCGATGCCTATGGTTGGCAGTTATATTAAAAAGTTAATGTCATGATTTTAAGATTTGAAATAAGGAATCATCTGTCTCTTGATAGAAGATTCCATACAAGAGACGATCTTCAGGCACAAAACCTCTCGTAGTTAGATAAAAATAATTATATTCGCCTGAATGAAATAAATATCTTATCTCTACCAGTATCTTTTAATTAGTAATTACGTCCCCTGAGTTCTATCCACTCTGGCTAGAGCTCCTCAGTACCTACTTTTAGTCAGTGCCAGGTTGGTAAAGGTCAGTGGTATGATGTTTTGAAACAGACTGATATAAAATACATCGCTATAAATAAATATATAGAACCAAAACTTACCTCGTCGAGTTCTCGCTGCGTGGTGAATTGATCAAGTAGAGTTTTAATGATTGCGCCTAAACGAATTGCTTGCCCGCGGAACCTGCAAAACAAAGACATTATTTTATGTAAGCATACTCTTCATTAAAGAGGCTCTTTTCTTCATTAACCGTCTTACATCATCATTTCCTGCTACAATATTACATAAATATAATGTCTTTACGACATTAAAATAATGTGGTTACAGTAAGAAATAAGTGTGGTTACACTGCTAAAAATCTTGCTTCCGTTATAATACTAAAATATAACGATGACGTTATTACATCGCTGATCTAGGAAAACAATATTTTAAAATTACAAGCCAAATAATATTTTCATCCCACCACCTCGGAAAGTGTAATTTTGCGCTTCGAAATCTGGCTGGAAAATTCTATTTTATTCGCTTGAGCGGCAAAGTAGATTTGAATTTAGAACATCACATATAATGAGTACTCAATATAATTGTAAATTCAAAACGTCATTAAACCTATTTAATGTAACCTCTATGGTGCCAAATTTATGATTAGAACTTTTTAAATTGTGAAAAAATTTAAATTTGGAACCTTCTTGGTTTCTTTGTTTTATTTGCGTGCTTCGCGCCATTCTAGTTTTTCACGTTTTATTGCTTAATATAATTAACATAACCTAAAAACTGTACAAAAAAATCAACTAAAATGAGTGACATTAGCGACGATGAAGTTTATCTAACGCCAACTGAGTTAACTGAAACAGTTAATAATGCGCAAATGAGCCTTCTCCCTCAGCAATCACGAGAGAAGTATTTGAAACAGTACGATATATTTAACATGTGGCGACTAGCTAAAGGAGCAAAAACTTTCTCCGAAAACGTTTTGCTGGCATATTTTATAGAATTATCTGAGACCAAGAAAGCAAGCACGCTATGGAGTACGTATTCAATGCTAAAATTAACAATTAAGATGAAGAAAGACGTTCATATCGACACCTATCATAAATTAGTGGCATTTTTAAAAAGAGCCTCATCTGGTTATAAACCAAAAAAATCGAAGGTTTTCACAGCATCTGAAATTGCAGTTTATTAATGAAGCACCTGATTCCGTATATTTAGCGGCAAAAGTAAGTCAATACGTGTAATTTTTTGTTGTTGATAAAATTGTACATAGTACTTACAATATTTTTAATTTGATTAATTTATTTACGATTATAAATACTTCTTTTGTTACAGGTTGTTCTTATTATTGGTATAACCGGAGCATGTCGAACAAATGAACTTACACTACTTAATGTCAATAACGTATCAAAATATTCTCATAATTCTGATGAATTGCTATTAATTAATGTACTAAATACCAAGACAAAAAAAGACCGCAACTTCGTTATTCGCAAGGAATATGTAAACATTGTTCAGAAATATCAAGCTTTACGTCCTTCTAACACCCCAATTGAACGATTTTTTCTACAATATCGCAACGGAAAGTGTATCCGACAACCTATGGGTCAGAATAAAATTGGCAGTATTCCACGAGAAATAGCAACTTTTCTCGGACTTTTAGAACCCCCGTTATACACCGGTCACTGTTTTAGAAGAACCTCAGCCACACTTTTGGCCGAATCAGGGGCTGATCTTCTATCGCTTAAGCGCCATGGAGGCTGGAAGTCTAATTCGGTTGTAGAGGGATACATAGAGGATTCAATCCAAAGTAAATCAAAAATTTGTAATAGTATCGTGGAGGCCATAACGCTGAAAGAACCTCTGTCAGATTCTTGGTCTCGCCCTTCTACATCTAAAATGAGCCCCCATAAGATTGGAAACAATAGCCCTCTCTCGCCAACATTTACGCCAATAGAATCCAATGAATCGGCACAACTATTTAAAATTACTGATACGAGTAGTTTACCACAAAACAGCGCACAATTCACAAACACCAACATAACATTACCTAACAAAAATATTAAACTTAACATAAGTAACTGTAGCAACGTTACATTTAATATTTCTTAATTATTTTCTACTTCTTATTATTTTCTTCAATTTATAGATTATCTTAATGTGTTTTAATTGAAATAAAAATATTTTGTCATTATAAATTGTTTTCTTTTTCATTTTGTCATTTCCTCGCTGAGGTGGGATGAAAAGTTACGTATTGCACTCGAGTGGAAAGATTTTTCACCTTGTGCTCGTTTGTTTCCCTCGCTGACGCTCAGGATTCTAATTTAGAATCACTCGCTGCGCTCGTGATTCAACTTTAGAATCCTTCGCTTGCTCGGTCATCCAAATCGAGCACGCGGTTAAAAAGGAACTTTCCACTCTTGTATAATAAATAACTATTCTTTTGTTTAGTCCTGAAGTCAGATTGCCATAGCCCCACGGGGTAAAGATATTATTGATCGTTGATGCCAAAATGATATTTCTGACCACTAAGTTTATTTTAATTTATATTTTTTTTTGGTTCATTCATTGACACAAGGAGGAGTGAGGAGCTCGATGGCGCAGGTGGTTACCGCGTTCGGCTGCGATGGTTGAAATTAAGCAACTTTCGCAGTGGTCGGTCATTGGATGGGTGATCAAAAACATCTATCTCGAGTTCCTCCGTGCTTCGGAAGGCACGTTAAGCCGTTGGTCCCGGCTGCATCTGCAGTCGTTAGCACCCGCCAATCCGCACTGGGCCCGCGTGGTGGGTTATGGCCCAATCTCCCTATTCCATCCATAGGGAAGGCCTATGCCCCAGCAGTGGGGACATTAATAGGCTGATGATGATGATGATTGACACAATCTAATCTATCAATTCAACTCACGTTTTGTGTATTTCAGCTATCCTTGTGTAGATGAAGTCTTTAGCGACGTAGTATCCGATGGCGGAGCGGGTGATGGACACAATGACAGTGGCCGCGTCCTGGCGTCGAACCTCCGACCCCTCGGTGATCGCCCATTCTAGGTATCTGATGGATGAGAGAGAAATATTAGCCAAACGTAAGGTCGTCGAAAAGTAAGGCCATTGTTACCCAAATCTATTGGAGAACTAGTATAGAGAAAAACTGACAAGAAAGTTGGTATTTTAGCGAAGAATAACGTTCAGTTTTTTCACTTATTAGGAAATACTAACCCTGCATAAACAAATTAGTTATCAATGACTGGTTGAGTATACACAGCTCGCGCGAGCAAGCTAGGGCGGACTGCAGCTGGTCGCACGCGGCCACCATGATGGTGCGCTGCATGTGAGGTACGCTAGTATAGTGTAGTGGGCATCACTGATAGGTTGAGCATCCACAGCTCGCGCATGCAGGCCAGCGCGGACAGCAGCATGTCGCGCGCGCTGCCGCCACGTTGGTGCGCTGCATGTGAGTTACGCTAGTGTAGTGTAGTGGGCATCACTGACTAGTTTAGTATCCACAGCTCGCGCGTGCAGGCCAGGGCGGACAGCAGCATGCCGCGCGCGGCCGCCACGTTGGTGCGCTGCATGTGAGTTACGCTAGTGTAGTGTAGTGGGCATCACTGACTGGTTGAGTATCCACAGCTCGCGCGTGCAGGCCAGGGCGGACAGCAGCATGTCTCGCGCGGCCGCCACGTTGGTGCGCTGCATGCGCGCGAGTGCGAACCGCCAATGTCGCACGCTGCCGCGACGCAGAGCCACGCAGTACACAGTGCGACGGAGGTCCAGCGGGATTCTGCGCGCGCAACATATGCAACAAATATAGAACTGATTTTGGAAAATTAATAATGTACCTTATTAATGAGCAGTGGGGAAATGCCGATGTAGATAGATACTTAAATATTTATTTACATCAATTCAAACTTAGACTACTTCACCTACTTGGGCTAAAGTTTAGCATACAATATAGTAAAAGGTTACCAAAAGCTAATTAAATACAATTAAAATCACAAACTTTTCTAATAACACTGGTAAGCGTTTGTCAATGAAATTAGGCATCCCAAGTTTTCATGCATCACCCACTTCTAAACAGCATTCCTACAGAAAGTTTTCTAAAGGTTTAAAGCTTAAGTTTTCCTTGACAGGTTTTACGTATTTAGGAGATTATGGCCGTGATGGCTGTCAGAATTGTGGCCTTCTTATTAACTGTTTCCTGACCTCCGTGTCTGTCTGCCTAAGTACTCCCAAGTACTCACGGAACTGCATCTTTAAGTTTTTCAGTCTTCGTCGGTCACAAAGTGAGTTTATTTATTAGCTTTAATCCTACATAAAAATTACTGAGATAGCAAAAGTACTCACGGGTTCTCCTTGTCCGGATCGCTGGTGTCCATCCATTGCTGGTACAGTTGGATTGCGTTCTCTTCGCATCCTGGAACCTTCATGCGGCACGCCCATTGTGACGTCATCACCTGCACACAACCGGGCATTAAGTAAGTCTCCAACACCCCACATTTTTCTTTACATCATCACATTTTCACACAATAATCCAGTTGCGAAGGTAGCTAATGCTGCAGAAAACGTGCCATTTCAGCTATTGGTTTGTACGCTATCCCCACGCAATGGAATTCAAATGATCTTATTTCTCTATAGGAACACTGTCGTGATATTCCTCGGGACACTTCTTAAGCCAGTTGCGAAGGTAGCTAATGCTGCAGAAAACGTGCCATTTCAGCTATTGGTTTGTACGCTATCCCCACGCAATGGAATTCAAATGATCTTATTTCTCTATAGGAACACTGTCGTGATATTCCTCGGGACACTTCTTAAGCCTATCTCCTTGGTAACATTAGTATATATTTTATGTTATACGCTGAAAATCCACCAGGTAGTAAATGGTTGCTCTCATGATAGAAGATGATGGTATACCCGCGGCCGCGTTCTGAATACCGCGATATCATACATAGTTATTCGGATTAACTGCATGGGTGAAAATTGATTCAGATTTTGCTGTTGGATATTCGGCACTTCTGGATTAAATCCTCCGTAACTAGAATCATCCTTTAGTTTAAGTAAAAAAAGGTTTAATGTTATCAACTCAACACACCTGCAACTTGACACTGTTCAAATTGTCTCCATCGATGATTTTCTTAGCGGCGAGTCCACCGGCACGTTCATAAGTGCTGCTTATAAGACGACGCACGTACTTCTGGAACGCCCCGTAGTCGGGGGAGCGAATGAGGACGTTCTCAATCTTAGCTAGAGCACCCAGACCGGTGGTCAGCGGGAGGACATCCGTCTCCCTACGTAGATAACTCGTTAACCTAACAGAAGAAGAAAAAGATTCTCAATTTACTTATTTACCTTCAATCCAAATAAATCACGCAAAGAAAACTCAAAGAAAATTCAAGCGTTACCTATGTAAAGCTTAAATTAATCGACTCATTTTTGAGGTAAAAATATCACGCTCCTTTAGCTTCTCCTTTAGTCGCCACGTTTAAGAGACCGAAATGAAACTAAAAGATGGTGACATATCTGTACCACCAAGGGCCTGATTATGTAACTTTATCTCCTTCAGCGATCCCTTTTCATTTTATATTTGAGGAAAATCAAATAAAGTTTTGAAGAGAAAATGGCGAAAATATTTAAAGTTTGATAAATTAGCTCCTCGTTCTTACTTGTAATTCTGTTCACGGAGACGGATTATGCTTTAGCTAGCTAATTAAGAAAGCTAATAATGAAATGTAAGCTAAATTTTAACATGCAAACGACGTCTAGTTGCAAATGATCCTCTTCATGTGTGACAAGGAAAGCAGCCGTAAGGGAGGTATGGTGTCGCTTTGTGCGGCGGGTATCCGCCACTGAAAACGCCGATAACGTTGAAGACCCATGCCACGGCCGCTCTGCCAAGAGTGTAACGTCAAAGAAGAAGAGAAAGTTGCAAGAAGTAAAGAAAGATAATGAAGCAGACTCACAGTAGTGGGATCGAGTAGTCGAGTCTATTGGTCCAGGCTAGTGCAAACGCATCTGACAGCAGCTGCACGCGCCCCAGAACTGGCACACTAGTGTAGCGATCACTGTTTAGCGTATCAGCCAGGAGCTTCCAGTTCTTCTTGTCGTAGTTGACGCGGTAAGGAGCTGGCATTGAGAAAAACAACACGAAAATATAGTTTCATCAGTTAAAGATTAGGTTTTGTGTAGAGTGAATAATCCAACTTTAAGACAAAGAAAGTCTATATAGGTACTATTAAGACTTTTTTCATTCACGGGGTAAAGTAAACAAAATTCTATTTCGTCCATCAGTAAGTTTGGGTTTCAAAAAATAATGGACCCTTTTTTCTCATGTATTAATCAAACAAAAACGACAAAGATAAAACGCTTAAAATTTTAGTAGAGTAAGGGCTCGTGACGTACAAGTAATATTTACTTCAAGGTAAAATTTGTACCTACACGTGGCGCATTGCGACATTTCCATTCATTAAATCTCGTATTGATTTAAGTATGTGAAAAAAAAATAAGCGGAATCTATCATTTTTGATAATCTACCTGACAGATGAAGAAAAAAATGCTTGTCATCATTCTCATTCTAAAGATGTAGAAGTATAGAATCTCCCTGAAATAACTTTGATTTGTCTTTTTTTTGGATATAAAATTAAAACTGTTAATGAGTATTTGATCCGAACAGCTTGGTATATTTTTTCACGTGTGATAAAAGATGGGTGCATGCACACCTCGATTACCGAGAGAAGTAGGTATAAAAACACTGGTTAGAAACTTTGAAATAACACCGAATGCCTCTTAACTCACCGACCATATCGAAGTTGAAGAGCACCCATTGGTCGGGCTTGGCGTCGTGCTGGAACCGATGCGGCGCCTCCACGCCTTCGTTGTCTGCCAACCACTGCAGCGGGGTCGCGCTTCTTGAGTCGTCTTCGCACAACACTCGTAGAGGAACCCACCAGGAGGAAGTGGTAGGCATGCGAGCGCCCAGGGATAAGTAGCGTTTCTACCACAAAACAGGGTTGGTAAAGTACAAAACACAGTGAGAGTCAAACTTTATAAAATAAAATATAATAAAATGAAATATATGATATCATTTATCAAAGATAAAAGCAAGTAGAAAGGGTTTGGTCTGTGGAAGTTTTGCAACTTTTGGAGATGCCGGTTCTAGACTGGGTGGGGGGGTTGCTTCCCACACTTGAATGCTTGCTAAGGGTAAGGTTACTAAATAAAACCAAACCGTTTGAATGTTGTAAAAACACTAATTTATTTCAGTAATTAATTGTGCAAAGGAAAATACAATTGATGCGTATGCTTAAAGTAATCTGGGTCAATTTGAAATTATTATTATGTTGATTAAGTAAGTATGTACAGCTCGTACACTGGGCAAAAATTTATTTACTATCTCGAGCTCTTTCATGCTGACACTGAGAGACAGATGGAGAGGATGAGTCGTCGGATAATGAACCTTATTACCTGCGTGATAGTGAGCGACTTGTCGACGTAGTCCCGGGTGACGGTCAGCAGCGGGTAGCCGGTGCGGGTGGTCCAGGTGTCCATCACTTCCTTCACGGTCACGTTGCGAGACAGGCCGCCGTTCGCGCGACTCACTCGCGTCAGTTCGCGCCAGAGGTCGTCTTGTTCCGCGTTTTGGTATGAATACTTTATCAGGTAACTGTGACGAACAATATTTGATCAAATAGCCGTGGCAAATAAAATCATCTAGGTTCTTAAACAGTTAAAATGTTGTTTTAGTTTGAAATATTTTAAGTAATCTATCGTTATTTTGAAATCTGTTGAAAAGCTGATTAAAAAAATATGATGTTACAATCATTACGGTTAAAGGCAAATCCTATGTCAAGAAATCAGACGTGCATGATATTTTTCCTCTGTTTACTTTAAAAAAAGAAGAGTTAAAAAATTATGGAGTCTTACTTGTGTATAGCTTTTCTGAAGACATCCTCTCCTAGGAACATGGTCATCATTCTGATGAGGGTTGACCCCTTACGGTAGGAGATCTGATCGAAGATCTCACTGATGCGCTTCGGGTCGTCTATCGGCACTGACACCTAGTGAAAACAAAGTATCCAGTTACTTTCGCTATTGGAACAACTTCTTTATTCATATCAGCCTAGAAATGGTTGTGAAAACTTTAACTAGAAGAAAATTACGAAGGCTTCAACAACTTTTTCTTCTTTAAACTACTGTATTTTTTTGCATTTCTGAATCATACTTATCCCCTTATCTCATTCCTTAATATTATTTTCTTTTCGTTATTCATTCTGAAATAATTATTTTCCGCTATCTTGAGATATTCACATTGAACTTAAAAAACACATTTCATGAAACATATTTCTGTAACAGACCGTTTCCTATAACGATCTGTGTGACCTCAATATCTATCATAAAGTATAAACTTCTCCGTGACCACCGTACGAGAAGGTGGGTGTTGTTATTCTCATCACGATAGGTACTCCTATTACTAGATAATAATATTATGTTACGAAGAAACTCGTGCGCACCGGGTGAGAAGACTCCAAAGCATCCAGGTTCATGATGGACAGGATATTTTCGACAGCATAGCTCCTGTCCGCGTGCCACGTAGGTTCGACCGCGTTGACACCGATAGATGCCACAAATGTTGCAAAGCCCTCGTTCAGCCATAAGTCAGACCACCACTTCATGGTTACCAGGTTGCCGAACCACTGGTGAGCAAGCTCATGAGCTATCACCTACAAAAAGAAGAGTTAAACTATTGCAAAATTGGATACAGAGGGGTGATTCCTGGGACCAACGTTCTTCGCATCAGATCCGTGACTTTTATTTTATTTCATTATTAGAAAAATCTAAAATTATATGGCTAAAGAGGGCTGAAAAACAAGTCATTCCGTAGATGAGGCAGACACGAAGAACTTATAGATTCTTGAAAAAAAAAGAAAATGTTTTGGCTCGCCTCGGATCTGACCAAGAGCATCACGGATCTGACGAAGTATATGAATCAAGTAATGGCGTCGCGTTAGAATAGCCTGTTAGAATGCTGTAATAAAGAAAATTATAAATAGAACATCATTATAGCAGAAGTAATCAGAAGTTTTATTTTTTTGTATTTTTTTACATCCGTTGCAAATATAATATTAAAAAATCAATAAATAAACTACTTTGGTATTTGTTTAAGTTCTTACGTTTAAACATCAGTCTTTACTGGGTAGGTACTGTAATCTCCGTGACGTTACAGCCTCCTTGTTTAGGTAAACTCTTTGCTTTTGCAATGCCTACGGTTGGCAGTTATATTAAAAAGTTAATGTCATGATTTTAAGATTTGAAATAAGGAATCGTCTGTCTTTTGATAGGTTCCATTCAAGAGTAGATCTTCAGGCACCAAGCGAACCTCTCGTATTTAGATAAAAATCATTATAATCGCCTGAAATCTAATATAAAATAATAACCATCGTCAAGTTGTTTTAATTAATAACCACGTCCCCAGGTTCTATCCATTCTGGCTAGAGCTCCATAGTACCCACGGCAATTAAAACTGAAAGAAAATGATTGAAGCTGTAAAAATTAGGCCTCCTGGTTGATTTCTACCACAGCGGCTAATCTCAACGAGATTAACCAGCTACGCAGGAGATATTATGTTGGTCCGCGCGGAATTCGAACCCACGACCTTCAGGTTGGGAGTCCAACGCTCTAACCGTTACACCACGGAGGCAGTGAAGCTATAATATTATGTATATAAAGATAAATATTATCTTTCCAATTATAATAAAAGACAGGTAACTAAGTCGCTATTATATTTCTTTTTTATGTCAGCCAAGAATTTTGCTAAACAACTTGCTCCTATTGAGCAATATTCTATTGACATGACAATCAGTAATTATTCTACTGAAACCACCCAAAATCATAATAAATATTTAAATTAACCAATCAGACAAAAGATAATTCTTCTTGCACATTAAATAATAATGTAAATAAAAATAATTGTTTTGTTAATATAGATAAAAAAAAACCATCCAAAAACATTGCAAAAAATGTAAGTTTTATCAACCTGGTGCATCTTAATATTCAAGGAATGATGGGTAAGGACTTAGAAATTGAATTATTCATGAATTGTAATAATATAGATATTTTTTGTATTACAGAACACTGGCTTAAAAGTTGTCAGAATATATTTAATTTCAATAATCATCAGGTTGGTAGTTTGTTCAATCGAGAAAATGCAATTCGCGGTGGCTCTTTAATATTATTGAATAAAAAATTAAAATTTAAGGAACGAAGAGATATTGTGAGCCTCTCGGTTGAGCGAACAATAGAAATTGCCCATGTGGAACTGGACCGGCTTGTTGTATTGAGCGTATACAGACCTCCATCAGCATTATATGATTGTTTTGAAGCTATCATGGATGAAGCGCTTAAGAAAACTTACACTACAGGCAAACGGTTGATTGTCTGTGGTGACTTCAATATTGATTTATTAGAAAAATCTAGTTCGAGTACTAAAATAAAAAAAAAATATTTCAATCATACAATCTGAAAAACTTATTCATTGAGCCTACTAGAATAGCTGCCACTTCGGCCACTTGTATTGATAATATATATATACAGATATCATACCACAGAAAAAACAAATTATTAATAAACCAGATAGTGATCATTGTGGCCAGTTGATTACATTTTCATATCAGCTCAAGCAGGTGACAAAAAAACACATCACTGTTGTACCAAAATCTGCTAATCGTGTGGAACGTTTTAAAACTCAATTAGATAGAAAAATGTGTTATCTAAAATATAAAGACAGTCCAAATGATTTATATAATGATTTTTTTACTATATACTGCACTGAATTTAATAATGTTTTTGTACCCAAAAAAATATGTGTTAATGATGCGGTAACTTTTACTAAGTGGGCTACGCCTGGAATTCATAAAAGTAGAAGGACACTTTATGAACTTTATAATGAAAGAAACTGTAACACTAGTGAAAATTTTAAAGAGCATGTTCGTAACTATTCTAAATTGTTTAAAAAAGTATGCCGCTTAGCAAAATCAAATTACTTAAGTTCAAAGATTAGGAACAGTAATGACAAAATCAAAACGACATGGAATATTATAAACGATGAAACTGGAAAATCCCAAACTATCAATAATAATTATAACTTAAATATTGATAATAAAAGGGTTACTTCAGATATTGAAGTTGCTACAGCTTTCGAAAATTTCTTTACTGATATTCCAGTTTCAACTACTAAATCTTTGAACTCTTCCCCCATTGCTGCCGAATCAATCTTAAGAGAAAACGTGAAACCTTGTACTAGTCATTTTCATTTTAACATGTTGATTTTAAAGATGTAATTAAAACGTTTCACCAATTAAATAAAAAGAAAACCGCGGATCTGTGGGGCAGTTCCGTTGATGTTTTTAAATCGGTAATTGAGACAATAGCTCCTATTCTAGCTTGCATATTTAATGATTGTGTTGACTGTGGTGTTTTTCCTGACCTCATGAAATACAGTAAAATAACTCCTTTGCATAAAACGGGAAGTAAATCAGACCCCACAAACTTTAGACCAATTTCTGTGCTACACACCTTTAGTAAAATTTTCGAAAAGAAATCATGTTAGATCAAATGCAATCACATTTTAATAAATATATAATACTTCACTGTAAACAATTTGATTTTACACGGGGTCGTTCAACAACCGATGCCGGTGTTGAACTTATACAACAAATTTTTGACGCCTGGGAGAACTCACAGGACGCTCTAGGTGTGTTTTGCGACTTGTCCAAGGCTTTTGATTGCGTTTTTCATGAAACATTACTCAGGAAACTCCACCACTATGGATGGAGAGATACTGATCTGGATCTTATTGTGTCATACCTGATGGATAGGATTCAGAGGGTTGACATTAATGGCAATAAGTCTGCGGGTTTGCCGGTTAAAATGGGTGTTCCGCAGGGCTCAATTCTTGGCCCTTTCTTATTTTTAATTTATATTAATGACTTGCCTTACTACGTTAGAGATAAGCATGAGATAGTATTGTTCGCGGATGATACATCACTTTTATTTAAACTCAAACGTAAGGAAACAGTTACTGACGACGTGAACAGTTGTATCTCTAAGGTAGTCCACTGGCTTAATGTTAATAATTTATTACTAAATGAAGGAAAAACGAAATGTATGAAATTTGTATTACCTAATGTAAAACAGGTAAAAACCAGTGTGAATGTAAAGGATAGGAATATGGGCCTTGTAGACACTACAGTATTCTTAGGGATTACTTTAGATTCTAAGCTTCAATGGGGCCCACATATTGATAAATTGTCAAATAGCTCTGCAGCATATGCCGTAATGAAGATACGCCAGTTAACGGATGTAGATACGGCCAGATTAGTATACTTTAGTTATTTTCATAGTGTAATGTCGTACGGAATTTTATTGTGGGGAAATGCCGCCGACATTCAAACTATTTTTGTGCTGCAGAAGAGAGCTATTCGATCAATTTATAATCTTAAAGTTAAGGATTCCTTAAGAGATAGGTTTAAAGAATTTGGTATAATGACGGTCGCATCACAATACATTTACGAAAATTTATTATTTGTAAGAAAAAATATTAATTTGTTTCTTAAAAACAGTGATGTTCACACACTTAATACAAGAAACAAAAAAAAACTTACTTTACCTGCTACTACGCTTCACAAAATCAATAATTCATTTAACGGTCTTTGTGTTCGCTTATACAATAAAGTCCCAAGCAATATCCAAGAGTTAAGCATAAATAAATTCAAAGATAGTATAAAAAAAGCACTTATTAAAAAAGCTTATTACAAAATGTCTGATTATATTACAGAAAAAAATGCTTGGGTTTGAACTGGTCCAATCATTCCAACAGGTTTTCTATATTAATAAATCATGATTGTATTGACGTTGTAACAACATAATGATTTGTAAATGTTGTTACATTATGCTTTTAATGTTGTGGAGCTTTTTTCGCTCGTTTATCTCCGCAGCTAAAAAATATGTCCAATAACGAGTGGTAGGGAAAAAATGTTTGGACGATTCAAAAGTGTTGTACTATACATCCAATTTGAATAAAGATATATTGATTTTTGATTTCTGTGGTCAGATCCATGGTCGATAAATCAGATCCATAGCTTAAATCCACGGATCTTACGACCACAAATCTGACGATAATTCAAATATGAAGGTATTACCACGTATTACTGTAAAACTATAAATAAAATCGTATTTATTTGTACTCCAGTGCCTACACAGGGATTGTCGGGTAGCAACAAAATGAAACTAGATAGGAAGGAAGGAAAAATCAAAAGAACAGTATAGGAATATATATTTACAAGGTAAAGTAGTATTTACAGATAATTAAAAAAAAATGGAATGTGTGTGTAGTGTGGGTTGTGAAGTGGGCGTGGGTCGTCGGCGATCTTCAGGGGCGGCTTGAACGGTAGGTCGTGCTACAGGTAGATGGACGGCGCTCCTTGGAGGCAGAAGCGCTCCTGTGCAGCCGTCTTAGTTCTTGGCCTCCCCTGGTGGTTGCTGGCGGCGCTGCTGGTAGTTTGGCCGGCGTATATCGGCCAGAGGCAGGCGTTGAAGAAACGGCAGGAGTCGGTAGAAGGCGGGCTGAAGCAGCTGGAGGCTGGCCGAAGAAGCTGGAGTCCAGGCGCAGTCCCACCGATGAGGTTGCGAGAACGTGAATAGTAGTATAGTATTGGAGTTAGGGAGTTGTTTAAAGAGCCAATAGGTGCTAAAAAGCTTTGAGGTCTTTCTTGAGTCCCGGGGCAGTCGGCCCCGGGACAAGGCCTTTTATTAATTTAGAGCTCGGTAGCGAGCTTTCAAAAGTTGAGTAGGCAACTTTTGCCGTAGAATTGAATAAATGATCAGGGAGGCTCGGCCTTTTATAGGTCCGGAACCATTTGAATTTAGACACGGTTCGAATCGAGCCAAAAAGAATCAAAGTAAGTGGTCTGTGGAGGTTGAATAGTCATAGACGTAGTTGGAGAGAGTATCCGTGTCATGGGTAGCCATGGCAACGGATAAAAAACATTAGGTTGTCATAAAATGTCAATAAAATAAATAAATTAAAAATAGATAAAATCAAAGCATAATTAGTGAAAACAAGTAAATAACAGAATAAAGAGAAATGCCGGTAAGTGTCCAGCACTCTGGAATAGTGATTTTCAGTACAGAAGAAATTATTATACGTATTTACAAAATGATGAATAGTGTGTGATATTTTTGAAATTATGTGTTTCCAGGAATAAATGATAAAATATATGATGATGCCTGATGAATATCGATGATGTTATATGATAAAATGTGCGAAATGGAACCTATGATAATCGAAACCATGAGTCGAAACCATATTAAGGTACGTTACAGGATATACGTATTATTAATCAAAAACCAGTTAAGTGAAACTATTTTCAATTTAACAGTAAAACGAGCCACGAGTTATACCTACCCCGTTGGACAAAAATTTGCAGAAGTCAAAGAAAATACCTAAAATTTTTGCACGAAATCTACGGACACTACCTTCCCGCCCGAACACTGCCGGTCAACAAGCGATCTTTTTAACCAATCGCAAGACGATTACCGCGTATTCCACTAAATAAATTGTCATAGTTTCGCTGCGAGATTGAAACTATGCCCGCCGCGTGACATGTATTTGAACGAATAAAGGTATACTAGACTTTGATTATTTTAGAACAGTTTATTCATGATCTAATAGAATAACTCTTTATGTATTTAAAAAGATATATATATACTTTATGTATAACCTTGAGCGTAAAAAAAATATTCACTATAACATAGCAAGAGTCGCGCGTGTGACACGGAAAAATCTAGTAAAATTACCGCGTTTTTCAGTTTCAAATGGATATTTAACCAATTTCTTTAATTAAATATTATTTTTTATCAATGGGCCTCAACACTACAATAGTTAAGTAAAGTTTGAAGTGGTACTTTATTCAAGTTGGTCTATTACTCCAGTTAATATTTCAATGTGACCCTTAAAATCATGGGTCCCAGGAATCATCCAGAGAGTATACTACAAAAATAACAACGATAATTTAATCGGCCCGAAGATCGACAATCGAATGTTTATTGTAGATTTTAATACGTACAGAAAGAAGTTCGAAAATTAAAGCATCCATAAAAATAACTCCGGCTGATATTTGTTTAATAATCTTTTTTATAATAAACCTTCAGTTTTAGATACACTTGGTCAAGTAGTCGATCGCGGACCGATAAGCGCCTTCAGTTATTCAAGACAATGTGTTGATTTCCTCTTTAAACATTGTAGATTCTATACTTCTACTTAGCTAAAAGAAGTTTTGAAGAATTCTCACCTCAGCGACTCTTTCTTTGTTCACAAACGAGGACTGGTCCTTGTCGTAGAGCAGGGCGGTTTCCCTGTACGTGATGAGACCCCAGTTCTCCATGGCGCCAGCGGAGAAGTCCGGAATGGCGATCATGTCTTGCTTGGGCAGGGGGAACGACACGTTGAAAAACTTCTCGAAGTGCGTCAGCACACGGGGTCCTATGTTTGCGGCGTACGCAGTCTGGGAGAACATACAAACGTGAAGAAATGAAAAACACTAACTAGGAAAGAATTCCTTTATATCCAAAGTATAGTGGTGAATCAATTGAAGTACTTTGAATTATAATTGAGACACGACTTGACTAAATTGTCATGTTTCTTTTCAACCGACGAAAATAGACGGAGGATGATCCCAAGTCGAAGCGTATTGTTCTTTTAGATTAAAAAAAATAAGGGATCAATTAAAAAAAAAGATATAAATTACGATATCATAGCAATTTAAATGTTAATTAAACTTTAACTAGAAATAAAGCTTGATCTTTTAAAATGTCTTATTGAAAGTAAAAGTGTCTAGAAGCTGAGTGAGACAAAAAACGGCTGTTAAGCTATAAGGTAAAAACAATTCTAAGCTTTATATCTCACAAAATTTTGTAAAGGTTATGAAATTTAACACCTTCTACCAATGCCAATTGCTACATTTTCTAATAAGAATACTTATCTAGAGTTTTTAAGACTTATTGTACCTGGTCTATAGCGTCGCTTCTGGCCCATATCCTGAACTTGGTGGTGGACAGATCTGAAGGACTCTCAACATGCGAGAACTTCGATATCACGAAGGCTACCAGGTAAGTAGACATGGGCACTGACTTGTCGAACTCATCCCACACAAAATCGGACAAGTCTTTCCTGTGGAAGAAAAATTAGGTAGGTACTACTTTATTTCTTTATGGCTAGCGGTCGTCTGCGAGTTCGTTTGCGTTTTTCAAACTTTAGTTTTTTTGAGAATGATTGGGCCACTGAGGCCTAAAATTTTTCCGGATAAAAGTATGCTATGGCTCAGTGCAGGTAATAAACTATATGAATACCAAATTTCATCCAACACGATTTTGTGTAATTAAGTCTTGTTGTGTAGAGGACTAACAAAGTTTCATATTAATAATATGTATCAGTAGAAAATAGGATTTATTTCCATCAGGTTCTGAAAACAAAATCTATAAATTTTCATCGTACCCTTAAAGCGTTAATTTCTTACAATCTGTTTTAATATTAGCTTAAATACTTAGATTAAAACAAAAAGGGTAGATATGGTACGCTCGTACTTGCATCAAACAAAAACTGATCCCACGGCAGCGCGAACGGGACGGCGAGATCCGCGTCACTGCATTACCGACCCGAACGGAACAGCACGTTAAGTTTCAACGGCAGCGCGAACGAGACGGCGAGATCCGCGTCACTGCACTACCGACCACGACCAATTACGCGACCAGTACTCGACGTTACTACCGAATAAGATTCAAAACAAACAGCATTTTTTATGAAAAAATATATTTTATAGTACTTACGAATGAAAAGTGATGCCGTGGGTTTTATTTTTAGTTCTTGAGCAATTTGAGCACTTTTCAAAAACACACTTAGGCATTGTTTTATCATATAAACACAAAATATTAGCAATATTTCTTTTTGGCGTTCACATGTACGTCGTTTGCATGTTAAGTTGTGACTAAAGCGATTAGGGTCGTGGACCACAATTCATGCGGATCACTTTTGTGAGGCTAGTGCCGTATCTACTCTTTTTGTTTTAATCTAAGCTTAAATAGAGTTTGCTGTAATCAAATATCAAAACATCAACCAGCGCAAAATTTATTAAGCTAATTGTTTTCTAGTAAATGACGTTGGAATAGAAAGCTTTTGCTCCGGGCTGGACAATTCTTAGCCTGGGGGTGCGGCCCGATCGATGTTGAGGTTGAGGCAGTCACGAGGAATATAATATTAGATATAGTTTTTGGGCAGAAACACAAAAAAACAATAGGTAATTCTCAAATTATTGGAATTTTTAGGTAGTTAAGATTTTCTGTACTTACTGGAATCTCTGCCGAATAACTTTCCAGGGCCAATATTTCTCCATAACACTGCAATAAAAAATACATTTAAATATATTATTACGTTTATTATTATTGTAAGTAACTGACGGCCGCTTTTAATGACGTCCATTTAATTTAATTATTGATTATTATGTGATGTGTTGTCTTGTTCTATTACTATCGCAAAAAATATTGCACCACCAACTTTAGGAAACTTTAAATAAAATACTTAAATGTTTCTGAGTATGATCTATTAATTTTATCATTATTTTATTGCTTAAGGAAAAAAAATCGAAAATTTGCAGAAATTTACGGCATAAACAGCTGTATCTTTTGATTGCGATAGCTTAGAAGTTTGAATTTTTCACAGCTCAACGAGACAGTAGATCCAAGTATTTGATATAAATTTCAACTTGATACCTCTACGCGTTCCCGACAAAAAGGATCTTGACAGACGGACGGACGGATGGACAAAAAAGTGATATAAGGGTTCCGTTTTTTCCTTTCGAGGTACGGATCCCTAAAAATAACGGCAGGATTTAAATTAAAATTATAATGCAAACAATTTTCACAAATTATTTGGCCCTACCTATATTACTCAGCAGGGTTATAATAAGTTCTTGGAAACTGAATTACTCTGAAAATAAAGATAAGTTTAACTGCCACTACCAGGATTCGAATTTGGTAGCTATAGAAGAAGACCGAGTGTTGTGGTGGCCAACATTGATCAGATTGATCACTAGGCCGTATACAGAAAGCGCGCAGGTTACCGGCGCGGTGCCGCAGTCTCTATGAACCAGCGCAGATAAGCGTCAGCGACGTCGACGCCAGCTTTCTTTTTTGTACACGGCCCTAGAATAACTTTCTTCTTTTTCGAAGGTTCTCTGAGCCAAGTTATACGCAGTGATGATCATTTCAAAGATTACTTGTGCATGGAAGATCTTTAGGCTACTAGGTTCTTATTAGATCAAGGCCTTCCACCGTAGATTTGTGAAGGTAGCTGAAAGTCTAAGTAGGTTACGGAGGACGCCAAGTAAGTTCTGTTGTTAGAGCGAGACATCACATACGCACAGTGGAGCGGCATTCCGCTTCGACGGATGAATTTTTCTGGCGTTCAAAGACCTACAGTCTCGTTCATAATAAGAAGTTTGATGGCACAGATGCTTAGCGCATTCGCATTCGAGGAAGTTAAACAACTTTTACAATAGCCGGTCATTGGATGGGTAACCAAAAACTTACATCTTGAACTCCTCCTTGCTTCGGAGATCACGTTAGGTCTTTGGTTCTAGCTGCAACCGCAATCGTTAGCATTCACCAATCCGCACTGGGCCCACGGAGTAGATCATGGCACAATTTCCCTATTCAATCCTTAGAGAACTGGGGACATTAAAAAAACTGATGATGAATACGGTCTCAGGAAAGAATACTAACTTGTTTTCTCCTCTGGAGCTCTGCGGCATGTTGGAGACGGCGGTAAACTGCTTGTTGTGCCCCAAGGTGATCTTGAACGTAGCTTTGTACATTGGCTCGTCGAAGCACGGGAAACCCTTGCGAGCCGAGATTGCCTCAAACTGCGTAGTGACCAGATACCTGTAAGTAGGTTATAAGTCGTTTCACAATGCTTGATATAGCATAGGTATCCTTATAATAATTACGTGAAGAATTAAATCTGTCGTACCCGTTTTCAATAAGCAAATTTTACTCATGAATGAGTGGAAGATTTTGCATGATAAAAAATTAATAAAAAAACAGTAATAAAATAAGAAGGGAGGATATTTGTATGAAAAAACTTACTCTTTAATCTTCGTGACTTTATTGGTGTAAGAGCTGATGTAAACTCCGTCCAACCCTGGCTTCAGATTCCCATAGAAAGGTATAGTCAGAGTGTAATTGACATCGCTCTGCAGCATCTTGTCCAGGGTTATGGTCAGGAAGTCATAGGTGTCGTTGATACTGGCAGATAACACCTTCGGAGGGTCCTGGTCTCCGCCTGACAGTGAGACTGCTTCACTCGTGATGTTGAAGTCTTTAGCGTGGAGTATCACTTTTGTAGTAGGCTTGTTGGCTGATAACTGCACAGATTAAAAGATTTGAATATTATGCCCTGTTTACATTACTTCAGTATTTAAAATACTGTTGAACTGGTAAGACTGGTGACAATGGTTACAAAAAAGATGTTCGAAAATTATACTCTCAAATATTCAAAACAGTACTTATTGGAATAGCAGTCAATCAACACTATTCCAGTGGTGTTGGAATGACAAGTAAACTGTCAATCCAGTCACTGAACTGGATTACTCACTGGAATGGGAATATTCCAGTGTTGGTTCACATAATTCCAGTAGCATTATAGTGTTGGATTTAATCGCTGGAATGGAATGCTACTGGGATAATGTGAACAGGTCATTAAAACAATTTTAGAATGACTGCTAGTTTTTATTGTCTACAGAAACTTCTACATAAAAGTTCACTGGGTTCATGTATCAAGCTGGAGTAAAAGTTATATTCATACCCAAACAAGGAGAAAGTGACTACGTGTGTAGTCACCTAAAGCATTCAGACCGATAAGTCTCACCTCATTCCTCCTAAAGGTGCTGGATAGAATGTATGACAGGAACTTGAGAGATGATGCTCTAAAGCGAGAACCACTTCATGCAAATCAACATGCCTACAGCATGGGCAAATCCACCGAATCCGCATTACACAACGTAGTCAGGCAAATAGAACGTGGATTATCACCAAACCAATCAATGCTGGAAGTCTTAATTGATCAGCATCAGCCAAGCACTTGTGAGATATAGTGTTGACCCCACGACTGCGGGATGGATCAACAACATGCTGAAATACAGAACAATACAAGTGACTGTGAACAATACGAAGAGAGCCGTAGTGGCACGGGGTTGCCCACAGGTTTTGTGTCCTCTCCTGTGGAACATTGTGGTTGACGAACTAATTTGCCAACTCAATCAACGCAACAACCACACAGTTGGCTATACGGACGACATAGTGATCCTCATAAGCGGGCCATTCCAAAATGTGCTGTGCAACTTAATGAGTAAGGCTCTCAACATAGTCGAAAACTGGTGTACTAAACACCAACTATCGGTGAATCTAATAACTTGGATGCTTTAAAATTGCCCAAGTTATTTAACAACAAATTGTCTAAGTCGAACGAGGTCAAATATCTAGGCATAGTTCTTGACCATAAGCTGACATGGATCAGCCACTTAGACCAAAATATAAACTAAGCCTGTATCACATTTTGGCAAAAGACTACTTGGTGTAATACCTGGGGTCTTTCACCAAAAATCACAAAATGGCTTTACACAGCCATAATCAGAGCACTCATCATCTACGGTGCAATAGTCTGGTGGCCTAGAACCGAACCCAACACCGCATGTTCTGCTACAACAGGCTGCATGAAATCCATACCCACAAACACCCTAGAAATAGCCCTTGACCTCCCGCCACTCAATCTGTACAAACAACAGGAAGCAAATATGGCAGCGCTAAGAATGTATCATCTGTGCTTGTGGACGGGAAACTAGGGTCCTCGCTCCAAAATTTTATAAAGGGCTATGCAATACCAACCTCTTGTAAAAGCCCGCTGTGCTAAAATCCCGACAACTCTTATATTTGATAGGAAGTATTAAATAGAACTACCAGAAAACAATAAGGACTGGTCGGGCACAGACGAACTACGCATATACACCGATGGATCCAAAATACCAGGATCCGGATCAGGCACAGGAGTCTTCTCAGTAGACATTAACATCCATATATCAACAGCACTGGGTAATCATAGCTCAATATTCCGAATGAATATGCGAATGCATAGCTATTACTCAGTCCACCACTGATGTTATTAACAGAAAAGTCACAAACTACAAGATACATATATTATCTAATAGTATGGCTGTCCTAAGATCCCTAAATAGTAACAGCAAAACTTCTGGGCTAGTATACGAATTTCACCTTGCATTGGAGTGCATAGAAATGCATAACAAGGTTACCCTCCAATAGATCAAGGGACATAGCGGTTCTGTGTGTAATGACGCAGCCGACGTACTAGCAAGAAGGGGATCATCACAAAAAGTAAAAGGTTCTGAGCCACTTCTACCTACCCTTCAATAGAATTCGTACATGGGTGCGTCTACGAACCATACAGAGCCATAACAGCCGCTTGGACAGTAAAGAGGGCTGCAGGCAATCTAAGGATATTTTTCCTATTTTAGCCTCAACCCTAGACTAACTAGAAAACTATCAAATTTTAACCGAAGTGATCTCTGAGTAATGCTGGGCACCATAATAGGGCACTGCCTTACTAGCAAGCATTTACTAACCATACGTGTTACATATAACTCTCTATGCAGAGGATGTCTGGAAGCAGACGAAACGGTGATCATGTGATCCTGGAATGCATGAGCGTGGCAGAACACCGGGCATCAATCCTCAGGAAGCCGAGAACGCTCCTAGAAACCTATGACAGTCCCAGGAGACTACTGCGCTTCTGGAAGGAGCTGGGCTGGCTGTGCTAGCTAACAACAACATTCAACATACCCTGCATGCACAATGGATTAAGTACGGAGTCTACGTGCGGAAACGGTGGCCCACAACAAGTAACAAGTAAAATAGGAAAAATCTGTCAAATCTACTTTCCACCAAGGAATATTTTTTCATACTGGACTGGACTGGAAGTTGAATATAAATAAAAAGGGTTTACTTAAACCTCATGGTTCCACGAGATTGGAATTTTGCGTGACTCAATCAGATTCGAATTTAATTCTAGAGTAGGTATTTTGTTAGATTGAGCGACAAGCATTGTAAACACAAGTAGGTAAATATCTAATACGTTTTCTAAAATACGCTAAAGTTGCACAAAGCATTTTTAAGTGGAGCATGTTTTGCCGTTACGCCACAGACCCACTTAGTTTTCAATAGAGTTTTTGTCACACTTTTAAGTTTCCTTGAAGTTTTGACGTCTGCTTTCACTAAATACTTGCATAGCCTCGCTGATATAAGTCTGTCATTACAAACGAGCAAGGCAAATAAAAGCATGGAACTCATCAGCCGTTGTTGCTAAACAGCTGCTCTTACACCGGCACCATTATAATTTTTTGCTCACCATTATCAGCCTATTAATATCTCAATGTGTAGGGAAGGCGTGAGCCACAGCAATGAGGATATTAATGGCTGATGATTTGTTTTTAATGAAATACTGAGGTACGCATTGTGTGAAAGTTTCAACAAATCATGAGTTTTGCTCCAAAGAAAATCTTTATCAGAATAAAAAAATAATTTGGTCAAGATGCTGGCACAACTCGAATCTTCCGCTGTCTGGGCGGATGTACTAACCGCTACCTATGCTACCGAAACCTTAATAATCGTCTTGAATTTCTTCGAATATTACTTAGAACAACAACTAAACAACAGTGACAGGACAGCGGAGGCTTAAAACACCAGCTAAGTGTGAGTCGGACTTGCGCACGAGGAATTCCATACCATACGTATTATGTATAAAATTTTAGACACTATATTATAATGTAGAGTAAAAAACGCCAAAGAAACACGTTTGTTGTATGGCAGCCCCCCTTAAATATTTATTTTATTCTATTTTTGATATTTCTTGTTATTGCGGCAACAGAAATAGATCATCTGTGAATATTTCAACTGTCTGGCTATCACGGTTCATGAGATACAGCCTCGTGACAGACATACAGTCAGACACACAAACAGACGGACAGTGAAGTTTTAGTAATAAAATAATAAGGTTCCCACTACACGGAACCCTTTTATAGATCATACCATGCCATATAGTTTCTAGCATAACAACCATCGGTCATTATAGTTAAATGACTCGTACATTAGATCGTTGAAATTAGTATTTTGCGTCAAACCTCAACATCATTTCAAGGCCATACAAAATGTTGTTATTTCTAACATGTTTTCCTATCTACAAATCCGTTGTCAGCGTTTAATGTATTGCTGTTTTCATTGGAAACATGAATATAATTATTGTTAATATAAAATTTAATCACGTCTCGTGTGCTGTCGAAGGGAAATCAAACCTCCAGTAGACAGTCGCCTCGACGCGACTCAGTAAGCATTACTAATGGTCAGGGTTATTCTTTTCAAATATTTTGTTTTGATGTTGAAGTAAACGTTATATCCTTCTTTTCTTACTTATATCAAAAAGTACAAGCCCCAGAATACGATTATTTTTTTCAGCAATTAACTTAGTTGTGGTCTCCCAGATTGATCAACAATTTAAAGAGAGGTACATACGGCATAGCGGATTTTTCGTTTGAATTAGTTTGTGGAAGTGACCTCCGCATTACTGAAGACCACAGTGAATTATCACTTCCCTTTAGTGGTGATATATTTCTGTCAGTGAGTAAGGTTCCAGGGAGTCTACTCTCTTTCTCCGAAACCAACTTTCGATAACGAAGTTCAAACGAAATGAAATTGTGTCAATTTAAGGTTATACTTAATTTGAAGGATAAACTATCAAATTGAAGCTTTTCTTTGAGAAGGCTTAAAAATCTACACTTCAATCTATATTCCGATGACCAATATTATTATAATTAAAAACGAACCAGAAACAGTAAAAAAATGGCGAAGTTTCGATCGAAATTTAGTTTTTGTGTAAGTGTTGGACATCGATCGTATTTGAAACATAATTTTAAACTTTTACCCCCTTCTTAATAAACAAAGAATAAGCTAAGACTAATCAAGCCGTGTTTTCTTCATATCCTCAAGTGCAGTGCCATTTGTAATTCAAGGACAGAGACAAATTGTGGCTCCTTGATAAGCAAGCCCTTGGCGCGGAAGGGATTTAAAAAGCAAAAGAGTGTAATTATGAATAATAAAACGGGTGTTATCATCACCATGAAATGCAATTTCTGTACTTCTGTAGGTATTACTTGTATAGTAGTAAGTTTTATACTTTTGAGAAAATCAAATCAGTCTTTTAGAGTTAGCAAGTGATCCGCTTTCTTTGCTGTCCAGTGTTTAAATATTGAAACCATTTTCGTACAGTAAAAAGTTACCTAAATTTAGGGCCAGTTCATAAAGCAGATATTCCAAGAATAGAAGTAAGGTATAACAATGTCGTTATTAATAAGCTCTTGGGGACAACGAGGAATAACCAAACAATTAGAAATTCGTCGGGAATGACGCAACAAAGCAATATTTAGAATAGTTCAGTAAACTTCACTAAATATACTTCTTACTAGAATTTAAATACAATTTATGTATTAAAGTTTATTCACCTAGTCATAATTTGACTAAACTACAAATAAAAAAAACATGCGCATACAGGATTGCGGGTCTTTGACCTTCGTACAACACAAGCCCGCATAATAACCAATAGTTAGTCGTTTAATTTCGTATGTAAATCTTCGCTTTGTTCGACGAGATAACTGTTTCGCATGAATGATCACAGATAGGATCAAGTACCTAGAAATTATGTTTACTTATATGTTAATATAAGGTCGATGGCGCATTAGTTACTTAGTATGCGATGAAGTTGAAAAACTTTTACAGTGACCAATTTAACATAAGATGGGTGACCAAAAATCTAGAGCTCTTCCGTGTTCAGAAGGCACGTTAAGGTCATTTGTACATTGCCTCCGTCACTGGACCGTGAATTAAATGACGGCGCCGAAGTAGTTATACATAAATATATAATAGCCGCTTATCCACTAGGTACAATTGTATTCATCATACAAACATTTGCCCCACTGGGATTTGAACTCAGGACCTCACGAGTGGGCGGCGCGGCGTCTCAAAAACCGGTCTCACAGACAACAAACACACACCACTGAGGTCGCTAACATAAAATTGAATATTAGCTTACCACAATGCTGACGACGCCGTAGAAGGAGAAGTTGGTGGTCGGGTCGAGGTCGTATCCGACCCTGAGGTCATAGTGGGTCGGGCTGACGTCTCCCGGCAGAAGGAAGCTGCCTGCCACCAGCTGCGCCAACGTCAGCCACAAGACCGCCTGCCATATCATCCTCACTGGAACAATATGAAATATGACAAAATTAAAATCTAAAAAAAATACCAGTACACATCGTTTCCGACTTAAATCAATGCAAGAACAAAAAAATTGACCTACACAACAAGAATGAAATCCTAATATATTGTTAATGTAAAAGTTTGTATGTTTGTGTTTAATTGCGCAAAAACCGCTGAACAGAAACTTTATCACGCAAAATTGGATTTGTATGAAATTAGGGACACAAAGATTTTGTTACCTGGATTGAGACATAGGATACTTTTATCCCGTGAAAATTTGAGGTTCTTGTGTTATTCCCATAAAACTGAAGTTAACACGTACAAAGTAGCGAATTAAATTCACATACTATATCTATTCTAAGCAGGCTGCGGGTATTTTACTACAATTATGGGCATAACTGTGACAGATCTTGTATAAAAATTGGCATAATTTTCATAAATTATGTAGGAATGCGACTTATTTGCAATTTTTTTACAAGCAACGATATATCGTTGGGTACAAGTGAAAACAATTCAGGCATGGCAAAAGAATTTGGTGTATTATGAGGTCTACTTTTTAAACGAGGCGTAAGAAATTACCCTACCCTAGGATAGCCAATGCGGCAGAAAATGTGAAACTGCCGCTCTTATTATTATACACTACCAGAGAAATAGGAATCTCTTTATCCTGAAAAATGTTAGAGAACTGAGGAATTCTCAAAAAACTAAAGCTAACGTGGACGAAGTCGCGGGCGACCGCTAGTCCACGGATATTATTTTTTTATTTATTTGTTTAAACTCATCAATCAAAATCAATATTTAAAATAAATTCATAATTCTGACGACGCAGCCTGAAAAGGGTGCGAAACGTCAGAAATAAATAAATCAGTACATCTATACATACCGTTGAAACTTGTTTTATCTGTACTAATATTATGAAGCTGAAGAGTTTTTTTGGTTTACGCGCTAATCCCAGGAACTACTTACTGGTCTGATTTGAAAAAATATGTTTGTGTTGGATAGTGCATTTATCGAGAAAGGCTATATAACATTACGAATAAAACAGTAGGAGCGGAGCATCGGTGAAAAAAGTTGCGATAATGGGAAAATATATTTCATTTCACAGCTCCTGTTACGTGCGCTGCGTAAATGGTAAAAATTACACAAAAAACATGTACGACGGTATTGGTCCCCTTTAAAGGTTCTATAAAAAAGTCCGGGACAGCATATGTCCATCTCTTAGGTTTGACTCACTTAAACTTAACTTAACCACATTCATCGACTGTTAGGCGACACAAAGTTCGGCGGATCAGCTTGTTATTTGATAAAACGATAAGACGAAAATCCTTTTTCTTCCTTTTTTTCCTTTTTATCAGTAGCAGTAGCTCAGTATTGTAGAAAACAATTAGTGGGCGTGTAAATATAATATACTATGACCTGCAATTACGCCCACGTTCGCTGTAGTTTCAGACAACTTTCTAAGATTATTTTTCAGTAAGAACCTTTTATAGAGTATAAGAAAAGTTGGAAAAAAGTATGTATTCCATGTATTAGATAACGTCGTTCTCAAAATATGGCGGCATCAAAGGATAAGGATACATTTTTGTATATAAACACAAAACAAAATTATATGTTTTCTTATTCTAATATGCTACTGCAGAGAAAGTGAGAGCATTTTTAATCAATGTTAGTAATAAGTTGACTTCTTTTACTCAAAGCCGGATTATAAAAAAATCTGACTCATATGATATCTAATAAAAATTTCTTAACTCATAATCATAACTGAACTGACACGTGTTATAATGGATAAGGACTAATATCTTCATTAATAAGATCTGGTTTGACTTGTTGATTACTCAGAAATGTATCTATTTAACTTCAACCCATACAAATTATTATTATAAGTATTTTTATTATATTGTGTTTTCTTTTAGTTAAATATATACACGGTGATTCTTGAGTTACCTGAATAACTTTTACTCAGTTAGCTAATTCAGACAAGGACTTATAAAAATAGGTTATATTTCCTCAGAAGTAGACGTAAAAATCTGAAAATATATTTTTCTAAAAATGTCCCGATTTGCCTAATTATTAAACTTTGACAATTTTAATTGTTATAAAAGTTTTATATTCAATGTGCCCATTGGACCTCTTTTTTGGTGCCCATTGGACCTTCAAGATATATAACCTACTACCAGTTGGACCTTATTAACAGTTTTGTTAAGCACAGTACAGTCATGTATAAAATTGCAGACAAAAATAAAATTAATAGTAGTTATTATAAAGCCACTAACTAAATACTGTATAAGTACTGACTCCTAACAGTAAGTAGTCCTAAAAAAATTATAAAGAAATCAGGTTACCTTCTTTCTTTGAACTAACGACATGTCGCCGTCCCCGGAGAATATAAAGATAACTGCAAAAATATAAGTGTTTCAGGAAAAATAAAAAACTGTTTTTTGTCTATTGCTCTTTAAATACTGGACGTAGACAGATGATAGTTACCTTTAAGAAAAGCTCATTTTTAATACATTTTCGTTTTTTTAGTAAAGAACTCGTACAATAAGATATAAGGGAGATATTTTGAAAATAAAAAGTGAATCAAAAGTAATCAAAATTTAATTTGTATAATGTTTATTATTATTTTATTAGTATTGACAAGGAGTCAAAACCAAATATTGCACTACTGACATATATTTTTATTCTATGGGTTATATGGGTGCAAGTGGCAATGATAAAACTTCAATTTCTTTTTATTTTCATAAATATTGTAAAACCTTTTTGTCTTTAAAGGACATTAAATATTTTTGTGCTTTAGGTTTAAAGGACTGATCATTTATTACATTAATTAATTGTAGTTGAATTAGTAATTAATTACTTATTCTGACGATGCAGACCTGAAAAGGCTGCGAAACGTCAATAAATAAATAAAGTTTCGTGTGTTACCCCGTTAAAAACTAGTTTTATTTACTTTAAATATTATTTCCATTTTATACTTTGCCTAGGTTAATGTATACAATTCCTAGGGAATGCATTGAGATCTGCTGGTCCTCTGGTATTATGTAAAATAAACAGATTTTGGTCTTAATTTATCCTGACCAAAACTAACTAGCCTAACCAGTTGGATATAAAATGGCGGACGGATTTTGCAATTCTCACCAAAAAAACTACAAACCAATGAACGTTTTACCAACTTATAGTGCGATAGGTTAGTGTTGTGACATAATTACTTTAACGTTTTAGGCCTTCTTTACATAGCTGTGTGAACCTAGCACCCGACTTTGGAAAATCGATTTTTTTTCTTCTGATTCTTATTATCATCGTCTTCTATTTTTCGATTGATGTCGATTGAAAATTAAAAAAAAAACGGTTTTCTTGCATAGCTCAGACATCGTCTATAGTTGATTTTAGAAAAGTTTTTTCATTTGTAGTTGCTTCAAAATTGAAAAAGAAACCTATTTCTTGCAGCCACATATCCAAAATCGTTTGTAGTTGAATAAATAAAACTTTTTTCAATATCTGCAAAAAATAAGTTTCTTTTTTAATTTATAGTTGACAAACGGAAAAAGTTACCTACAATCAACTACAAACGTTGTCTGAGCTATAGCTCCAAGAAAATCATTTCTATTTAAAAGTCAAGTATCAAAATCTTTGATTTGATTATTATATTATTTGTACATGTCTCTTGTTTCTCTTTTAAGTAATATTTTATTGTGTGTGTACAAAATAAATAAATAAATATATTTTATGGTTTGTTGCTGATGATTTTTGTTTCGAATTTTATAAATATGTTGCTTTTAAAAAACTTTCATTTATAACCTTTGTGCTTTTATGTATTTCATCAAAATTTAGAATATATAATAATTGTGTTTAATCTGTGCGATATAAAAACCATATGTATAATTTAGTTAAGCTATTTGATAAAAAATAATTAAAATAATTTCTATTGGTTTTAGAAGTAAAGTAAAAAATCTTTGATTTGATTATTATATTATACTAGCTGACCCAGCGAACTTCGTACCGCCCTAAAAAAATAGGGGTTGTCCATCGGACAAAATTTGTGAATCTAAACCATTCTCAGATCCCCTTGAACACACACAAAAAATTTCATCAAAATCGGTCCAGTCGTTTAAGAGAAGTTCAGTGACGTACACACTCACAGATGAATTATATATATAAAGATGTAAATATTTATATTGGTTTGTTACTGATGATTAAGGTTTTGAATTTTAGAAATATGTTGATTAAATACTTAGATTTATTACCTTACTAGCGGTCCGCCCTCGCTTCGCTTCGGTGTAGAGCTGAAGTGTAGACTACAGTTTAGATAAAAACGGTCATTTTTATTACCTGTATTTATAATCAAACTAAAATTCTCATATTTCCGTTTTCCAGTACTCATTTTCTACACGTTTTACATGATTTATTTGATAATTTTGTTTACAATTATTCTAAGATAAGCACGGTTTCTTAATATCAATTATTGTCTGTCAATAAGGTCGAACGCTCTGAACGCATCAACAGCCAAATATTGAATGAAGCTCGCTTTTTTTTTGTTTCCTCCCAGGCGGGCGGGTGTGAAATCCTCATGGATACCCTACAGCCGGCTGTAGGGTTATGTCAGACTCTTACTGACTAAAACACACCCATGGGGGATGCCTATGGCCTTAGGAGCTATACAGGCTTTATCTGATGCGATCAACCCCTGAGAAGGGGATGATGCAGCGCTGCCTTAGTAAATACTACTGCATAGAGCGCTTAGAGGATGGATGCACTCTGATGTGCATCCGTATCGGTTTAGGACAAAGCGACTGGAGGACTCTCAGGATCGGGGGGGCGGGGAAGCTCGCTTTCGGACCTCCCGCCTTTTTATACCCTACCGCCGCCGCGACCCGTGTCGAGCGCGGCAACCGTTACACAAAAATAATCCTTATACATGCTATTCAGTATTCACGTGCGACGGCGCGATGGCTTATTTCATGTATAAGTTTGGTGTTTCTATACCGATTTCTATGATTCTC